TCTTGGACTCACCTCTTCTCCAGAACAAATTCCACCTGTAGCTCTTGTGAATCCTAATGGAGGAGCAAAGAAGCACCAGTTTTCAAAGAGCTCCAAAAACCTCAGGGATCGTCCCTACTCCCAGCCCTGCTCAGCCAGTCCAGGGACTAGGAGAGGAAACTTGCTGTGGCTTCTCTGGGCACAGGAAGGGCAGTGGCATCTCCATGAGAAGCTTCATCCATTGAACACTATGTAAGGACACTGTTCTAGACACTGAGGGTTCAGCAATGATCAAGACAAAGTGCTCTGCCCTCAAGGAGTTCGTATGTTGATTCTGCTCAAGAGGAATTATTTGAGGGACCCCTTGGTAGGATCAGTGGTGCAGGATGGAGGCCTGGTCTGTGCTGACTGTGAGTCCCCTCCCCCGTGCCCTGTGCCAGGCATCCTCTACCTGAGCTCAGCTCATTGCCGGCACAGATGAGGCAGCTCACCTGTTGGTTGAGTAGGAAAGTGTGTTTGTGGGGTTGGCCAGGCTTGAGGCTCTTCAGGTCAAACAGCAGCAGGGAGAGTTCATTGCTGCCCAGGACGTCCTTGTCATAGAGGGTGAGCTCCAGGACATTCTGGAGACAGGACAGGCAGGAAATGGGAGCCTGAGGCAGGGCAGGCACCTTAAAGGAGCCCTTTCCCTCTGCCACTTGTTGGCTCTCACCTTCACAGCACCATGGATCTGGTAGTGGAAGGTCTCATTCCACTCAGGGTCACTGCAGTTGTCTATCACTCTTGTCTGGGCATGGCTGGGAGATGCTGTGGGCAGCCACAGTTGCACATAGCAGTCAGCTTTGGACACTGCGGGTAGGATGGGAAAGGAATCCTGGCTTCAAGTTCTTATTGCTGAAAAGGTTGCCTGGAGGAGGCTGGGGCAGGAGGGGAAGGAGCAGAGCCAGGAGGAGGCTCCCATGTGGCAGGGTGGGGTGAGGAGACGGACGGTGAGCCCTCATCTTCAACTCCATCTCCACCAGTCACACCTCCCATTCAACTGAATGGAAATCCTACAGTGGCCAGTTGAAAAGATCACATGGCAGCACAGACCACTGAGTAATTAATTCCCAGAAAGGACATGATTCAGGTGACAAACTCCCCTCCCAGTGTGAGCGTTGGCATGGGGAGTTCTGGCGACAGCAGGTGTCACACTCTCCCCCAGGCTGTCACCACTCTACCTGCTACACTCAGGAAGGAGCTGGGGTCTGCACAGTGCTCCCCTGCACCCCCAGCTCCTGCCTGCCAGCTCTGGGGCTGAGGCCTGGACTCCCTCACCTCCTTCCACAGTCAGCGCCAGCCCCTCTGCCCCACTCCAAACGCACACACGCACTTCAGGCCAGCCCCTGCCGAGCTCTGCAGCGGCCGCGGGGAAAGGAAAGGGAGAAAGGGTGGAATTGAGGGTCACTCACACAGGTCTTTGCCCTGGATATTCCTGGCCCTCAGCACCTTCACCTGGAGGTCATAGTATGGGTGGGTTTCCCGCTGAAACAACAAAACTTGGGGGACTCAGTTCCAGGAAGCCAGATGTGGGGCCTGATCTCCCTGCCATGACGCCCAGTTCTGGTTTCCCTCCTCCCATCACTGAGCAGCAGCCTGGCCCAGGGTCTCTGATGTTTCTGTGCTGTTGCTGTGCCTGGGACCTGGGAAGTCTTGGCAGAGAAGGCGTTGGAAGTTCAGCATGTTCGTAGCAAGGCTGGACTTTGGAATCAGTCAGACTGGCTTCAAATCTAAGCTCCACCATGGACTAGCTGGATGGCCTTAGGCAAGTTACATGATTTCTGTATGGTTCAGGTTTCCCATCTATGTGGGGTTATGATGATAATCTGATAGCGTATGGTGAGTTTTCAATAAGATGTCGTGTAAAGTGCTTGATACATGTAACCATTTTTACTAATTATGGATATCATGCACCACAGACCTGCACTCCCCTCAGACCACAGTGCCACAGCAGCAGCTGGAGAGGTGAAGTGAGGTGCTTAGGAGATTAAATATTAGAAGAGAAAGTTGTGATCGGCCCCACCCCATTAGCTCCCTGACAAAGGCTGGATGGCCTAGGAGGCTGAGGGCAGGTGAAGGGAAACCAAGAGTCACCCAGTTTGTACTGGTCAGATGAGTTGCTATGGAGACTGCACATTGGGCCCAGGAGAGGTAACAACAGACTGCAGCAACTCATGGGAGTGAGACTATCTCCTTAAAACCCAACAGCCGGATTAGGGCATTCTGGGCAAAACCCAGTCAGCTGCAAGTGCTACAGGACCTAGCCCTCCATTCCTAATTATATTCAAGAGCCAAGGTCTTGGCCAACCTTTCTAATTCAAACTCCCCCAGGCTATCTGGAGCAAATTGGTCCCACCCCAGATCAAAACCCAATCCCCTGGCTGGCCTCAGTCTTCACAGGGGACACATTCCTAGGACCCCTCCAGTCCATATTTCTCAGGGAAGAGCAGGTACTTTACCCGGCAGTGACTCCATTCAGGTGCCCTCTTCTCTCTCTTTCGCAGCAACACTACCCCCAGTAGGGGCAGCCCCTTGCTTGTCAGCCACTGTGGCCAGAGCGCCCAGTGCATGGCCAGGCAGCCCACTTTCCAGCAAGAAGCCGTCTTCTTTCCAGAGCCACCCCCCTCACTTCTGGATACAATCACTGCTAGCTCAGGTCTAACAGGTAGTGCTGGGGTGGGGAGGGTGGAGCTGGCTGCTCTGTTGCAGACTCAGGGCCCTGTGGGCCTGGAGGTGGGGTTTGACAGACTCCAGGAAGTGACTGGAACCCAATTTCCTCAGGCAGGAGGCACTCTGGTTCCCATCCCCAGCCCTGGTTATCATTGGGCTGCTTATGTAAAATAGATACCTGAGCCTCACCCTCCATATGATTTGATTTGGTGAGGGCAACAGCAGCCAGGAGGTGCTGCATCAGGGGCCCAGTCTCCTCCAGCTATAAAAAAAACAAACCCAATACCTTTCAAGTCCCACCTTCCCCAGTGCGGAAGCAGCATGGAAATCTCTAATTCAGCGTTTGACTTGGACTCAAACGTGTTTCTAATCTCTCCTGGCCTCCCTCATTTGTTCTCCAAAGAGAGGCTGCTCTGTGCAGAACCTGTGCAACACCTTAGAGCTGCAGATAAGGAGAGCCGATACATATTCTGAAGACATTCACAACCTCATGACTCCCTGCAGCTTCTGCCCAGGCTCTCTTCCTGGATCAGTGGAAATACCTGAATGGTCCAGGTATAGAGGAAGGGATACGGCCAAGTGGTATTGATGCCAGACACAAGGGGTCCAAGGCTACCTATCACCACTTGAGCCAAATTAAGCAGTGACAGGGTTGAATCATATGTGAGCGTTTATTCCAATAATGTCCCCCAAATCGGAGAGCAGTCGGTCACCCTGGAAATTCTGCTCTGACTCCCCCTTGCCAGTTGGTTGATTATATACCAGTGAGGGAAAAGATAACTACCTGAAGCTGTGAGCTACAGGTGTAAGAGAGAAACGGCAGGGGAGGGAAGGGGAGGGTCTGCAGTCCGGCCGTCAGGAGCTCAAAATCCAATAACCAGGTGGTTCATCTTCTCTGATGTTACAAACAGCTCAGCCCACTCCTGGGACCAGAGAATGGTCAGCGTTCCTGAGGCAAACTCCTGGGTAGGGTCAGGGTGTGGGCACAGCAACCAAATCAAAGCGTATCCTGTCATTGGTCTGTTCTCAAAACGTGTTTCTTTTCTGAGTAATGGGCCCACCGAGGCATCTTATCTTTTCACAGCCTTGTTTAAGCCTCCAGTTTCCCAGGGTCAGTAAGAAAACTTCTTATCTATAGTTAGTAAGGTGAATGATTATTAAACAACTGTGGCTCTGTTCTTATTACATGCCCTTCCCCATCTCGCTATCAACGAGGGCAGGTAAAAAGCAGGTCTGCCAGTCCTTAAGCTACTAGAGATAAAGATTTTCACATCCTCCATTGACCAATGTAAGCCTTAGGCTGCAGGGGGTATGCGATGTCCCCTTTTCTGTGAACCACGGCCATCTAGGCAGCCAAGACAAGGTATAGTCTCCAGTAGAAAGCATCTCTGGATCAGTGAGCTGTTGGAAGATACATTTTTGTTCCTCAACCAAGACCTAGTCATCTCCACTCCCCTCCCCAAGGTTGGAGGTGGAGACTGAAAAAAACAAACGTCTAAAAAAACAGGTGATTCAACTTCAAAACAAACCCTGCTGGCAAGTTCAGACCAGAAACTCCCAGAACAAAGAGCATATGACCTTGGCCAGGCCCCAAGGGGAGGGTCTGTTTCTACTCAATATGGAGCGTGAAGCCAGGACCTGTGCTGGGGTCTCAGGGATGCTAGGGCCCAACCTCCTTGGAGGCCTGTACCCACAGCATGTAGGAGACCCCACGATCCACAGAGGAGCCTGAGGGAGGGTGTGAAGCGAGCTGGCCTGGCATACAGATAGCCTGGGTGATTTGAGTGCTTTCTGGGCTGTGCCACACTCTCCTGGAAGTCATCTGCCCATGCCTCAATAAAGGTATGCCTTAGCTCCAGATGTTTTTCATTCCCTGAGAAAGCTCACGAGGGCCACAGGAGGCTTAAGAGGGGGAATAAAGGACCAAATGATCTTTTCAGAGCTGGCCAAAGTGGACCAACATTTCTCCCCTTCTCAAACATCACTGGGTCAATCCAACCAATTCCATAGCTTCTGTGACCCTCCCAGTTATTACGAGCTGCAAGAAGAGGCACAAAGCCTTGGGATTAGCTCCAGTTCCAGTGTGTCCAGCAGGAATTCGTGATGCTGGAAACATCCTCTATCTGTGCTGTTGATACATCAGCCACTCTGCAGTGCTGGACGGCACAGATCGAGGCACACAGAACAGATGGGTTACACTGATCTTTGTTCACAGTCACTAATGGGCTTACTCTTCTCAACTCTTAGCTAAATTATGATCCTCATTATTTTCATCAAACTCCACAGGAAGGGGGAAAAAGGAGACCCAAACAGGCTTGGTTTGTTACTTTATGATGTTTATTACGCAAGGCCTTCATCAGTCCTCACTACAGAGCTTTCAGCTCCAGCCTTCTCCACACTCCACAGAGGACAAAGACAGTCTAGGGAAGGAAGACCAGAATTTGGGAGAACTGGGTCCTTTATGTGTTCCAGAGGCGGGAAACACACTCTTCGTTCTGTTGCTTCAAGCAGATGTGCCACACAGGAGTGGGAATGGAAGATATAAACACAGCAGGCCAGGAAGGCAGGGCTCACGTGGTGGGGCAGGGTGAGGGCTGCCTGCCGATCTCACTGCTGCTCTTGGAGGAAGCTTGGTCTTCACTGACGCAAAAGGCCAAGGGCAGCACTGCTTCCTGTGGGTGGGTGTGGCCAGTTGGGACGGTGGCTCTTGAGAAGTGCTCCTCGATCTCCAAAACCTAAGCAGAGAGTCCCTCTCTCTCTGAACGTGTTGCCTGCACTCATTGTCCCTTCAGACCCTCCACAGAGCACATGCCTAGAAGCCTAGTGTATAACTCTAGCAAGTCGGCCTATAGCACAGGCCTCAAACAGCAGTGCTGAAGTTTAAAAAGGATCACAGCACGTCAAGGACAGGCCACTAACGGGTCAGTGTGGGGCACTGTCACTCACCCTACTACCATTAAGGAACTGAGGAAAGAAGTCTGCAGAACCCTGGGGAAGACAGGAAGCAGGGCCTCTCTCCCCACGTGTCCTCTGTTACAGCGAGAGACACTCATATGTGCCTCTAGGGTGCCATGTGGAAGCCAGGGCCTCCCACACACAAGTGCTCAGAGGATCTGGCGGTGACATACTTTATAAACCCAGATGCTGCCACTCCTGCCGCCTGCAGCACTCCTGCTGCCCTGAGCACTTCACAAGTATGCCTTACACCACATCACTGTAAGCCCCTAATCTGGCCATTCCTGTGTGTACCAGTCATCCACTACCTATGATATCCCAGTGCAGCCCTGCAACCTCTGCAAAACCAAGCTGGAGAGCACCCCCCAGGCCATGCTGTAAGTGGGTGACACTGGCTGGAAAGAGAGAGGCGGCCCAAGCACAAAGTGCTTATTCACAGAGACTAAACCAACCTGCCTGGGCGGCTGGTGGGTGAACGGGGAGCAGGAGCCTCTGCAGATAGCAGCCTAAGAGGTCATACGCCCAGTGCAGTGCTGTCCATTCTTAGAGCTATGGCCACACTCACCCTGAGGAGAGGTGCACACGGCCCTTCCTAGGCCAAGAATGGTGCTCTCCTAAGCTTCCAGGCAGAGAAGCATGCAGTCCAAGGGGGATCTATTTACAAGATACCTGACAGTCAGTTATTAATTAACCCTAGAAAATACGACTTCCTCTTGTTTTTCACTTTGCCTGGCTTAAATATTAGTTATTCCCAGTGTCAGGAAAATGGGGAAGGAGGCCTGAGTAGAGCAGTGAGGAGAAAGATACAGGAAGAAAATAGTGGGAAAGAAAAGGACACTCAAAAATAGAGGCGAGTGGGGAGGCTTGGGGGGCGGGGAGCACGCAGGTCACGGTGACCACGGAGAAAAGACTGTCACTATCTAGGAACAAGTGTTTGGCCTTTGCAGCCAAAGGAGCTCTGGTTCTGCTCTCTTCTCAGACTTGGTCAGCCATGCTGAGGTATCCCTGCGAAGCCCTGCATATGACTTGATAGAAAACTGAACAAACCACCCTGGGGTTGCAAAAGCTGGAGGCAGTTTCCTTATTCAGGTGACTGGTATGTGAAGGCAAGACAGTGACCATCACCGCCTCCTCCAGTCTCAGCAGGTGTTAAATTCTCTGGGACTGCCTGCAACACAATGGTATATAAAGTATAACTAATCTCTTTTTCTATTAAAAAGCTGGTAACACCAGACCACAAGTCTGATTATTTCAGAGATGTTCCAGGGCGCAAGGTAGCCATCAGTGTCCAAATGGGGAGACACCTGGTGGTGGCAGCAGCCCCCGACCCTAAGGCTGGTGCCTGTTTCCCTCTCTGGGACGGCCAAGCTGTCCATCTGCTGAGTCCTGCGCACGCTGAGCTCAGGTGTCCGCCGGGTTTACCTCTTTGGAACAGAAGTAGTGCACGACCACTCCATTGGGGTATCTCGCAAATGCGCTGCAGGGAAGACAGATGACTTGGGAGTGAGGACTGCCTATCCGACCGCTTCTTACCCAGGAAGGCACCTTACCCGGGAGTCATCCTGGCAGCAGCCCACCCCCACCACAAGGAGCAGCCTGCCCCCAGGGTCTCTGGATTTACGTAGCCATCATCTCTGTCCAATAACCAAACACAGGATGAGGCCCACGAAGCTCGAGTGCACGGGGCTATTTAAGTCATCAACGTGAAACACAGGCAGATGGGGCCGTGTGCCAGCCTGGCCTAGCACCGGCTTACGAGAGCCAATGATGCTCCTCAGAGCAAGTCTCAGGCTAGTTCTAACGCAGGGCAGAGTTAGGTCTTTCTAAAGAAAAGAATTCTTCCATGTAAGAAAGAGGGCAAATCACTCTCCTTTGAGGGAAAGGGGATCGACTAGAGTATATGCCTTAAAACAGTATGGTCCTGGCTCACTCAAATCATGACGCAGCAGGTTAAAAAAATCTTTTTTCTTCCTTCAAAGGTGCTTCCTTCAAAGATAAGGACTTTCTCCCCACATACAACTCTCACATACCCACTGGCTACATCACAATTTCTAGCTGCTAGAGAGGAAGGACTTCATGGGCAAGAAATCAACAGCCCTATGCCATACATTTCAGGTTTTTAAATTCTCAAAGCCCACCCCCAAGAGCCAGGACTGCCCTCTCTGGCCTCAAGAGCTAAACGTGCCCAGACAGTGAGGAGCTGTGCTTTTCCCCCGGGTTAGAGGGCAGAGCTCCATCCTGAGCATGACCCGCCCCAAAGCAGACCCTGCAGAGGTGCAGAGCAGGCTCACCTGTTCCCAATCTTCTTCTTACACACCATGCACACCTTCTCCTCCGTGATGATGCACTTCACCTGCTGGTGTAAAATCCGCTCTTCCTGGACCTGAGGGGGCAGAGAGATTGGGGGAGGAGTCCATTGTCTGGCCTGGGCCAGTAGGTTCCTCTAATTGAAACACTTGCAACTAAATGTCAAGTTGGTTAAAGGTGTTAAACAGGGGTCTGCTTTGTCTAAGGAATATGTATGTAGTAACTGTCTTACACTAAAAAGCACTAGCCCACCCTAGGGTGTGCAAGGCTCATACCCGCAGGAACTCTGCATGCAGAAGGTTCTTGAGCACCTGATTGAACCGTTTCTTTTGTGCATTTTCTTCCAAGACTTTTTCCAGAAAGATGCGTATATCATTAATTTGAGTGTTTGCTGGCAGAAGGTTGAGGGCCTGGGGATGGGAACAGAGTGAGGCGGGACAGGAGGCTGAGGAAATGGCTGAAGCCACAGAGCTGGAGAACCCCAGGCCCTTTCTCCATCCCCTCTTGCCATTCAGTGCTCCCTGCGAGTGCCCTCCATCCCCGAGAAGAGCAGACCTTGGTGGTGTCCAATTTGCTGTGGTGCAGCTCGAGGACCTGCAGGGCAGCCTGGAGGTTGGCTTGTGGCTCCAGCAATTCCAGCTTGATGGGCCCCAGGCAGTGAACACTGGGAGGTGACAGGTACATACGGAGCAGGGACAGATACACCTGTCTCACACAGGTACAAGGCACACAGGTAAGGCTGGCGGCAACCCCTCCAGAACACCCAGCTAAGAGGGTTTGTCTACAGTAACAGCTGTCATGGAGCACTTATAGCTCATCTTTCTTACCTTTACAGATTTTGGTCAAACGGCCTAATGAAGGTATAAAAAATTAAGGATTGTGGTTTCCCTGAGAGAAAAAGCTAAATGCCTTGTTAACCACTGTCAAAATGCCAACGCTGCAAAACGACTCTAAGCGCTACCTCACTTCCTTTGGCGTTGAAGGCTGAGACCCTGTCACGTTCTGGCAGGTAAGGATTAAGCCAAGGTGAGATCTGCATTTCCTACTGGTACCAGTACCACAGGGTTTCTCCACCCAGCACTCAACATTTTGGGCCAGATAATTCTTCGCTGGGCTGTCCTGTATATTGTTTAGCAGCAGTTCTGGCCTCTACCTCCGAGATTCCACCCCCCCTCCCCAGTCATGCCTATAAAAGATGTCTCCGGACATTGACAAATCCATGTGCAATCTCGACAGAGCACATCTATGCACTTTGTCAAGGACCATTAGATGTTCTTTCTCAATAGGCTGACCACACTGTTTATAATACAAGTGAGGACTCTTCCGAGAGTAAAGGGGTGAGGGCGCCACTCATAATCACAGGGAGGACAACAGACATAAGCCAGAACTATGCCATGCAAACCAGGACATATGGCCACCCTGCCTCTTCCTTAAGATGCACAAGCAAATTCAGTCAGTGCACAGACCCATGTCCTGTCTTCTATTAGCCCTTCACATTAGTGTCACCTGTGGCCAAACCAGAGGAGGTTAGGAAGACTAAGAGGGACCGTGGACCAGGGTCACTACTTACATCTTTGTAGCCATCTTTGTTTTGGTCATAATGCTTGTGGCAGTACCTGCAAGGGAGAAAATGCTTAGACAAGGCCAGAGGGGCCACATCTAGAGAAAGGTCATCAGTGCTGCCTGCACGAGCAGCCTAATGACAGCCAAAATCAGAGGCCAGCACAGAAGGTGACTCTCCCCCCTGTGGCAGCGCGGCGGGGTGGTGGCTTCCTTAGTCTCTCACGCCTCTCTTCTCTCTGGGGGGGCCTGCTTTCAGACCCCAGGGGAAATAGGATGACAGGGTCAACGTACTCCTCAGCCATCTTTGTATCCTTCAGAATGTGGACATAGATGAAGAGAGCTTGTTCATGTTTCCCCATGCGCCCCAGCAGAAGAGCACGTTCTTCTAAGAGGCCTGTGGGGGAGAAGGAATATAAGTAACCATGACCACCACTATGCAAGCACAGGGCCAGGGGCTAGGCTATTACGGAAATGGATACTGGAGCAATATAAACTGGGAGAAAATATTTTTATTACTTGGAATTTATGCAAGGAGAAAGTTACTAAAATTTTATAAAGGGAGAGGGAGCTATTTTAGGAGGAACTTTATCCCATCTTTTTGTGACCATTTACGAATGGGGCAAGATCACCCATTCAACAGTCAAGTGCAGAGTAAGCACCTACTGCATGCCAGGCACCTCAAATCAGGGAAACAAACACCTGGTCTCTGTTCTCACTGTGCTTACACATCAGACAGATATGTGTCTTTTTCATACAAATTATGCCAGATTACAAAGATTGGTAAAGCAAGTGGCCAAGGACAGGTGCTGAAGCAATAAATAGGTTTCAACCTGGCTATCAGTTAGCATGTGGCTCATACCCCAAAGAGTCTCCTCTTGGTCACAGTACAAAAGTGAGTCCTTAGAGGGGACAGAGCAGGAGCACTCACCTAAACACATGGTTTTTCCCAGGCCCAACTTTTTAGAGGCTTGGGGAGCTGGAAAAAGGAAAGGTCAATTTCTGCATTACCGTCAGCTGAAATGGCTTCTGGATCCAATCCCAACACTTACCATCAAAAGGAAAATCACAGATGAGCCGGCCTGGGTCATAGTAGCTGGAAATTTCCAAGAACATAAGGAGCTTCCGTCGATATTCTCCCAGCTCACCCTCTTCCTCTCCAGCAGGAACTGGAGTTTTGCCTTTAAGGGAAACAAAGTTCAACCTGAAAGGATGCTGTTGGGCAGCAATGTGGGTTGTCAAGAAAAATGAGGGTGGTGAGGTTCAATGATGTCAACCATGATCATCAGAAAGGGTCTTCAGAAGAAAAAAAATAAAAATAAAAATAAAAATAAAAGGGCCTCCAGAGTGGTTTCCAGTTGGCCTTCTCCCAAACATCAGCTTAAGGTTAAAAAAAAAAAAAAAAAAAAAAGCTGCCTAGAGAAGCACTCTGTTAAGCAAACCTGTTTCTTATCTTGAAGGCAGATTGTTCCTTCCCCTTCCCCCAGGGGAGACGCCAAGAGATTCTTAGAGATGCCCAGATCCAGACGAGCTGCTGAGTCTCACGTTCTGGGTCACTTAGCTGCCCTGGCTCCTCTGAGGAACTTACTGCTCACCTGGGACCCACAGAGAGTCTGCTTCCCCGTGTCACACACAGCACCCTCGGGTCCCAGCTTGCCTCTAAGGCCAGGGGTCATATGACTGTCTATGAGAACTGGTACCTGCAGGGAAGGCCAGGAGGTACTCCTTCATCAGACCTTGCACCTTCTCACAGTACAGCTGGATCAGGCAGTTGTGGAACCGGGAGCCCGTCTCCTCCCAAACGTGGATGACATGTTCCTGAAGCGAGACGTAGATCTGCTTGGTCCCCTCAACACTGTGACCCAGCCCAGTCACCCTCACGGTTTTAAGGCCCAACAGGTCCCATCCAGACTGTCTCCTAATTAAGCTGCAAAGGCTACCAAGGAACAGCTCTTCTAAAACCATTGGGAAATTTTGCAATACAACCCAGCCACATCGGGAATTCTTATCTTGATTTCCGATCTACCCTCCTTTATTAATTGTCTCATAATCCTCTAAATTGGCCCATGTAATTAAGGTTAAATATTTGCATTCTGGTACTTAAAACCGATTTGGTTGTCCTGTGGCCACAGCTGAGTTAGGTTGTACAAATGTGGCACTGAAATGTTTTCCTCAGCATCCTTCTCTTATTCCTCTGTACTTTACCAAGGTTTACAAAGTATCGGCAAAGAGTGCCACTTCCAGCTTGGCCACTGGACTCTCTTTTTCAGAGCATGTTGAAATGACTCTTTTCCTTACATTCCTACCAGTCCCCGTGTGACCAAACCCCAATCTGAATTGCCTGATAACTGACCCAGGAGGCCCTGGATCCTGGGTTTGAAGCTTTTTAGTTCAGACCAAACAATATCTTACCAGATAAGGAATAGCCAGACCCTTAAAATTCTCTACCAGGAAGCCGAGCACTCGGTCTCGGGGCAGAGACTCCACCTCCAGGAGGTCTTCAGTGAAGATCTGTTAAAACAAACCCGCGTTCCAGCAGCAGAACCATCTGACTGCAATGCTGCCAAATGCACAGTATGCAGTGGACAGACTTCTGGGGGAAAGGGAAAGGGCGTGCAGGGTTTCTGTAGCCAGTTAGGGTGTGACAGACTGGGGCACAGGTCTCCTGACACCTGTGCAAGACTCTTTCCACTACACCACACTGTCTCTCACATTTCCCAGTCTACTCTTTTGAACACCAGAGAAACTGCATGAATCCTTCCTCTATCTCCATCCATCCCTCTCCTGAGTGGAATCAGGCCCAACTGTGGCACCAGGTGAATCTAAGGACCTCTCATGACCTACCTTCAGGCCGTCCTCGGGGAAGTCTCTCAGCACCCACACTGAGTAGGAAAAAATCAAATGCAGGTTTTCTGTGCCTGGAGGAAAAATAAGACTTGGCTGCAGGTGAAGCCTATCCTGCCCACAGGACTAGGAAGGCAGGTACCAAGGTCAGCCCAGGATTTATTTTCTAGAGTCATTCAGGGCTGCTTGGCCCCACTGGGCTGGTTACATTCTAAGGAGCTGTCATGGGTCCACCACTGGGGGACTTTTACCCCAGCTAGCGGAACAAGGAAGGAGGGGACTGACCAGCCACATCACAGATGGAGGCGATCAGGTTTGTCTGACTACAATTCCTTCCCGACTCCCTTTCAAAAGCAGGACTCACCCAGATGTTGCAGATATTGCACCGTCCTCTCATGGCCTTTCAGAGGCGAGTTTGCTTTCTTGGACTGGTCTACCAGCACCTGCAGGGCTGGCCAAGAAGCCCAAGAACAAGGTCACGAGCCTCCTCCAGAAGGCCTATCCCCACAGATGCATCACACCTCAGCTCCCCTCCCCGCGTCCGGGCACCTTTCTCGTGGAGCCCTTTCTTCTCATACAGGATTATCAGCTCACTGTATTTGTGAGCCTTCTTCAGCACGTGCTCACTCTCTTCGATGTGGCAGTGATTGTTCTCCAGGCGCAGCAAGGGGGCTACCAGGGCCACGTTCGTCTGCAGAGGAAGCAGGACTTCAGCAGAGAGTGCTTCCTGGGGAGCCCCGCCCCTACCCAGCCAAGGCCTGCTTCAGGCTAAAAGGCCAGGGATTTAACAAAAGCAAGAGACAGCAAACCACCCCTTTTCAGGACTATAGGCAGTGGCTTTTATAGCATTTATGAGCTTTCACACGTTTTAATGGTATTGGGGGTCAGGGGAGGGAGGGGATATTTCCTGTGAGGAAATACTGTTCACATTGGATCACTAACCCCAATCTTACCAGAGAAGACCAGCCCACTGTAAGACTCTGGCCAATATCTTGACTTAAACTCTTAATTCCAAGAAGCTCACAGGCATCAGGCAAAGACTAGGTGGTTCCCATAATTAAAGATTTCACTCTTGCTAACAGCAGGCACCCCAAAGTGGCCCTTTTCCCATTTAGGCAGACTGGGGGATTGTGGGTATCCAAGTGCTCAGAGAACTCACGTGGAGGTAGCACTTGAGCAGGGTGGTGTCGATGATCTGCAACAGCTTCTTCTTGGACTTGATGGTGGGAGTGCCTTCCATGAGTGGGGAAGTGCTGGACTGGTGATCAGCATCATTCAGCTTCTTTACCAACTGGCTCCGTTTCTGCAAAGGCCAAAAATGTGGGACCAAGGCCAGGACTAATCTTCCTTTATCACTTGATCTACCTCCAGGTATAGTTTCAAATACCTCCATATCAGCTCGTGCCTATCCACACCCTGATCTCACATCGGCACGCAATATTTTGGGAAGTTTAAATATTTAATGGTCCTTGAAAACTTAAGTTTATATTTATGATGTATAGCTCAATTTTACATTAATAATTGTTACAATTCTACTCAGGTGACATTTGAAAAAACACAGTCATTTGGTTGCAGGAAATAACATTTAAAAAATTAAAATGACAGTTTGCCCACCCAGGCTTCTAAGTGTTCATTTATGGAATGCCTGAAGCACTGCAGAATGCCCTGGGTTCCCTGCCGTAAAGAAGCATGTATTAGAACTCCCAAGTAATTCCTCCATACACCTCTCTCTCATACCTACCTGTGTCAGGTAGTCAATCAGAGCTAAGTGAGCCTTCTCCAGTTCAGCCCCGGAGAGTGCAGGCAGGGGGTTAGGATATTGCAGCTGCTTCCTGTAGTCTGTGGGCAGCAGGTCCGGGTACAGGCCCATCACATGGGTAGGATCTATATGGAAGGTAAACATGAAAGAAGCACAGCAATTTAATGATAAAATAAAACAAGTTCCAGACTGGTTTTTTAAAAAGAATGACAAGTTCATAAAGACTCAGTGAGCTACACACTTATAATTTGAGCACCATTTATATATATATTTCACTAAAACACTACAAAAATGGCATGTTTCTATATCCCAAGACACAGACACACAAACATGCATAATTAGAAATGAAAATTTATTCTCTAAAAGCACAGGAGAAAACAATTTCCAAGGAAAAACTGATAAGGCATTGAAGGTGAAAGATCAATAAAATAAAAAATAAAAAATTCTATGTCAAAAAAGGAATATTGCTAAAACAAAAAGACCAGACAACAGGCTAGGACAAAAATTTGCAGCATATATGGCAAAAGACTTAAAGGTTGATTACATAAAACAAATTCACACAAATTGGTAAAAAAACACACGCAAGATCTCATTTGATAAAAGGGCAAAAGATATAACAACTGACAAGAGAATATAAATAAGTGGGAAACTGTTCTGCTACATTAACAATCAAAGCCTTTTTACTCATTAAAAATGTCAGGTGATTCAATATTATTTTATATTGGTTTCAGGTAGACATTTATATAATTTATGAAGTGATCCCCCCAATAAGCCTAGTACCCACCTGGCACAATACATAATTGTTACAATATTGTTGACTATATTCCTATGCTCTACTTTACATCCCTGTGACTATTTTGTAACTACTGATTTGTGCTTCTTAATCCCTTCACCTTTTTCATCCCACCCCCCCAAACCCCTTCCTTTTTGGCAGCCTGATCAGTCTGTTTTCTGTATCTATGAGTCTGTTTCTGTTTTGTTTATTTTGTTCTTTAGATTCCACATGTAAGTGAAATCATATGGTATTTCTTTCCAAAGATACTAAAATTTACGCATTCTCAGAAAACTTTTTAAAAAGCTAATTTTGTGAGTTGATGGATTTGTTAATTAGCTTAGTTGTGGAAATCTTTTCAACATGTATAGAGTATACCAAACATCATGGTGTAAAATTTAAACAAAAATATATTATGATTTTATTTGTCAATTATACTTCCATAAAGCTAAATCCAATAAAAATAACATTATAAAACAATAAAAAGTGTCAGGTGACATTTTCATACCCACTTAATTAGTAATAAGAGTATTTTTATATGATACTACCCAGTGCTTGCAATTTTGTGAAACTGAATCACCTTATGCTACTAAGACAAAAGATATTGCTACCTCAAAAAGGAAAAAAGCACTCACAACCTCAAATCCTATTTCTAGGAGTTATTTCTAAAAAGACAATGCAAAAGATGGGCGAAGCAACATCTGTATGAACAGGTAATGTTACAAGCATTATTTGTAACAATGCAGTTTTGGAAACAATGCAGAATTCTTTCAACAGCAAAAATAATGTATTTTTCATTCAACTGATAGAGTATTATGAAATCCTTACAAATTATAATTTTGAAAGGCACCCAGCAACATGGAAAAACACTATTAACAATTTTTAGGTAATAAAAGCTATGAAAGTGTATTATAACTATGTTAAATATATACACGAAAAGAAGCTTGGAGGAGGAAGAGACAAATGATGATCTCTGCAAGTACTAAGAATATCCACTACTGGGCAAGTGGATCAGATCTGAGACCAAGGTTAGTCAGCATAGGTGCTGCCCAAGAGGCCCAGTCAGGAGCCAACTGCCCCCTAGACAACAATGCCACCAGCACACATCCTGCTGCCACTGGAAAGGGTCCACTTGTGCCTTATCTTTCCTATTGGACTGCTCTTTGAGAGAGGAATTCCTGTCTGATTAGTTCTGGTTGGGCCCAGCAGAGTGCACTGAACTCTCTAGGAGCTCAGCATATATTTGTGGGATGAATAAATTCAAAGGTAGTAGCTTCATTAGGATTGAATTTAAACCTTTTGGACTGGGGTTCAAGTATCATTGGTATATAGACAAATAATCAAATTACTATAAAAGTTCTATCTTATTCCAGTGTCTTTTCAAAGAGCTGGTGGTACACTGAAAATAAATGCCCCTTTGAGTTCATTCAAAGGAAGGACAGTAGATATTTATGGATTTCAGGTTTCCCAGCTTCCATATCCCTTTTTAACAGCAACTTATTTCCTTTTGGCAAGCTCCCTCTTCCACAGCAGGTGTAGTCTTGGTGAGAGAACAGTTCTGGGCACCTACCTTTGCCTTCAGAAGCAGAGAGGGGCCACAAACTCTTACAGGGAGTGAGATTATGACCTAATCCTGGACAATCAGAGCCCCTTGATCTTGAGAAAGTGACTCAAGGATGACAAGCAGCGCAGCACACACCAACATATATCCCACCCATCCTCTTATGTTATGTGGGCACTCATCCATCAGGCAGGTCTGTGTTCCCTGGCCTTAAGCCTGGAAGGATCCTTGTACATCAGCAGAATATGGCAGACGGACAGTCATAAAAGGCAATGAGGCTTCCACTTAGGTCTGTTGTATTGCTCACTCTGCATGCGGACACTCAAGCAGCTTTGCAGAAAGACCAACTTGGTAAGAACTGGAGCCCGCAGTCTACAACCAGCACCAACTTGTCAGCTATAAGAGTGAGTCACCTTAAAAGTAAATCCTCCTGCCCAGTCAAGACTTCAGATGACAGTAGCCAAGCTCAGATACAACTGCAAATGCATGAGAGACCTCAAGCAAGAACTGCCCAGCTGAGCCTTCCCAAATTTCTAACCAACAGATACCAAGAGAGAAAACAGATAATTTGTTATTTTAAGCCACTAAGTTTTGGGGTGGTTTGTTACATGGCATTAGACAGTAATATAAGCTGGTAGGGGGCAATTTTTATTGAGGATGCAACAATAGGAGAGGTGGTGGCAGTGGCTAAGGAAGTGGCTGTGCCAGTGAAGGACTGCCCAGCCTGTCCACACAACAGAAGGATTACAGTAGTTCAGCTTCCTGTTTCCTGCTGGGAGGTCCTCCGGAGTTCCCTTGTTCCTATTATTCCTGAGCCTGACCCCCCATTAATTTTGCAGGTCCCTCTACCTGCCATTCCCCTTATTTTCCAATAAACCATGTCTAATTTATCCAGATACTGCTTAAATTATCCAGAATTGGTCTCCACTGCTGGCAGCCAAGAACCTTAACTGTTACAGGGAGTTATCATAGCTCATTATTGGTCAAGGTTGAGGGAAGGTGGAAAAAGGGCAACACAAAGAGGAGAAAAGAGTCTAACCAAGGATATACAGATTGGTCCTAATTAAACAAAAAAGAAATACACAGAAATAAAAAGTTTAATAATAACAGCAAATATTTAATTGGTAGTTATTAAGTACCACACACTGTTCCAAGCATTTTACATAATCTCCACACTATGAGGTATTATTATTTGCTTGTTTTTCAGAGAAGAAAACTGAAGACGAGAGAGAGGTCCAGGACTCTGCCAGACAGAGGTCAAGGCAGCCAGACTCCAAAGTGTTTGCTTGTCACTATGATGCTCAGGGTTTTTAAGACACTGAGAAAAGGAATGCTTCGCAACACTGCCCTGTGCTGGCTCTCAAAAATGACCTACTGTTTAACTCTACCAGCTCAAGTCCGGGACTTTTGTCTAGAATAGCATTCACCAAACACTCGATTATCCAATACACATTTGTTGAACTGAGTAACTTTCTGTTACCTTTCTCTAATGGCAATGGCAAATCATCCTGGAAAACTGGAAGTCTGTATTTACAGGCGAGACCAGGTTCATAAGATTAGGACTATAAATATCTCACCACCATAGTCACCTGCAGGACCCTATTAGATATGAGGATCAATGTAGATAAGCATAAACATTCCCCTTTCTCAGAAGTCTGGTATCATTTTTCCTGGTCCTTTCATTTCCCCTCCCTCTGGTAGTTCCTATCCCAAGGCTGTGCCCACTTGTTACCTGTGCCAAGCTTAGCAAAGACCTGCATGGACTCATCAAAACGCTTCTGGCAGAAGAGGTTGAAGGCATACAAATTCTTGATGTGATGGATCTGCTGTTGCTTTTCGCTGTCGGAATCATCTTTCATTTCCTAATAAGAGAGCAGAGTAGGTAAGAGCTCACTCACTCAACAAATATTTACTCAGTACACACTAGGTGATAAACTATATCCTAACAGGCACAAATTCAACGTGTACAGGCAGCCACATGGTATCTGCCCTTACAGTCTAACCTTAAGACTGATAAGCAACTATGCAATTAAAATACAGCAGGGTTTCTACAAAATATACCTGACGAGAATTCCTGAGAACTACCAAGGCCATAAAACATAAAGGACTAAGAAACTGTCACAGATCAGAGGGTACTAAGGACACAGGACAACAAAATGCAATGTGATTTCTGGATTTGAACCTAGAACAGAAGAAAGGAACATTAATGGAAAAACTGGAAAAATATGAATAAAGTCTAGAATTTAATTTAACAACAAAAATAAAAACCAAAACAAAAGAGGGTAAGAGTGGTGACAGAAGCACCTGAGAGGGGTATGCAGCACCTGAGAGCGGGTCTGGGGAGGGCTCTCGGGAGAATATAAACTAAGACATAAAGAATGAGCTTGAGCCAGGCAGGTGACGGATGGGAGGGAAGAGAGAGGGAGTGTTCCGAGCAGAGAACAGCACATGTGAAAGGCCCTAAAATACCAGAGAGGGAACACAGCGTGCTCAAGGAATAAAAGACACTTCACACAGCTGGCAGTTAGCAAAGGTCCTGCTCAGAGCTATTTATTATCTCTATATCTTCCTTACAACCTTCCTCCCACTTGTCTCCTTTTTAACCAATCTTTACTATATTTAAATTCTTCTTTCAAAATGTCTTTCTTTTTTTTCTCTTCCTTTCCTCTTTTTATTGCCATCACCCTAGTCCAGATCACCGTCAACATGTGGCAGCACCTGGTCTCAGCCCTCCAGCTTGGTGCATTATAGGCTTTCAGACCTGGTGTAGCTCCCTTATCCAGCTTATTCCCAGAAAACCAAGCCACACCCTCCACCCCAGTCTGGATGGGCTCCAACATCCTGGAGACACTTATTACCACCTCTTCAACTTCCTGAGGCTCCTCAATGCTCTCTGTTTCCTGCTCCTGATTTCACCTGTCCTTAAAGGTCCAACCTTAGGGTGCCTTTTCTGGCCCTCAGGGGACAGTCCTTTCTCTCACATTTTGTTCCACATTCTGTGAACACTGACGTTTAGTATATTATTGCCCTCTGAAAGTTAAACATACAGTCTTTGATTTACTTAAATAAAAGAGAGATTCCTCAAGAACTAAGATGTTGTTAACCAACCTTCTTCCATCATAGGAGAGACCACCTAGTAAGTACAAGCCTAGAAAAGAGAAGAAAAAATGGAAACCCACTTTCACCTTCCCTACTGAAGATTAAACAGAAAACCTGCATCAGGAAGAGCATTGAAAAGACCTGAGACCTTCATGTTAAGAAAAATATAGATACTAGAAAAGCTATACACTGCACGATACCCCCTTTTATTAAGTTCAAAACTAAATACATATTCTAGCCTGGCTGGTGTGGCTAAGTGGTTGAGCATCGACCTATGATCCAGGAGATCACGGTTCGATTCCTGGTCAGGGTACATGCCCGGGTTGCAGGCTCAATCCTTAGCAGGGGGCAGCCGATCAATGACTCTCATCACTGATGTTTCTCTCTCTCTCTCCCTTCCTCTCTCTGAAATCAATAAAGATATATAAAAAACAAAAAACCTAAATAAATATTCTAGCACACCTATATGTAAAAGATTAAACAAAAAAATTTAAAGGCCATGATAAACAAAAATTTTAGATAATTGCTGTGTCTGGAGAAGAGACAGAGGGACGGGATGGACAAAAACATACAGGGTTATCAGTTCTTTTTTTTGGGTAGCATGATGGTTCATGGGTATTCATTAATTTAAAAATAAAAAGAAAAGAATATAGGGCAATGCATGAGGGGAATGTAACAGAGTAGTAAGATGCTGAAATTCAATGTCCCAAGAAAGAAATAATTTTTATGGGATATTAAACATGCCTGACTATTAAGACTGAATTTTCATTTTAAATACAGAATTCATACATCCAAAATAAATTGTTCTTCAAGAGTATCCACCATATGTGGTTATGAGCATATGTATACCAAAATCTGTGACTATTGCTTTCCTTTCAGAAGTAATTTATAAGATACTCCAGAAATTAAGTTTTCCTACTATTGTTTTCATAAACACTTCTCTTTTACCAAATTACCACCATCTGGTTTAACGACTAGGAAACGCTCAGAATGACTTTTGGTTGTTTCCTAACATCAAATCCACCCACTACAGATGATAATAATTACCACCGGGGATGTTTAAAAGAACAAGACAAGCCTCGAAAGTCAGTGTCCAAGAAGTCTGGGGCAATGGGAGCATCACTGGCACCAGAGAACGGTCACTATGTTACCATGAACATCATCCTCTGCAAACATTCAAGGAGAGGGACAGTCATAAATATAAAAGTGCAGCCCTGCTGAATGCAGTAATCTGCAGTGGTAGCAGAACACCTAAGAAGGAAGGCCTGCTTGTCCAAGCACAGCAGTCCACCGCTGAAAGGGATGCTGAGAGGCCCTCTAGTGGCTGCATTCAACCAGTGTCACTTTACTCCAACGTAGACCATATCTATTACTTTATTCTATTAATTCTATGAGGTACATAATTATAATTGACATCCATTCTATATTTGCAAACTGAAAAATGAAATCACTTAAAGTGATTTTACATAGATACTTTGCGGCAGAGTCAGACCCTGAATCCAAGCCCTCAGAATTTCATCTTTTTACCAGTAGAAACCAAATATGAAAAACTCAACCCAAACTACCTGTTTTGGAGAACAATGAGAAAAGCATACTCACACACAAATCTTAGAAACAAGACTTACTGCAAGTTGCAAAGCCAATTCAAACTGTTTGTCCTGGAGCAGCTGTTGAATTTGGGTTGCCATGGGGACAGGAATGAGTCTCCAAACAAAATGATTGCTGGCCACATAGATAATGTTTGATCTGGAGGCAGGAACAAGAATATTAGCAAAACAGCACAGGTTTTATGATGTCATAGGAGACTTAAACACTCTGTAATGACTCAGTAAAGGAAGAAATTCCTTACCCTCCTGAGGTGATGAAACGGGGCCTCTGCAATTCAATGCTCTGAACCAGAAGCCTCGGCTCGAGTGTTCGGATCTCCACATATCGAGGCAACACGGCAATGATGTAGGGAGGCTGGTGCTCTGTGCAAAAGAGAACATGTTGAGTTCTGATCTAAGGCTTTAAGTTTATGGACTATCAGTTGCCCATTTCAAAGCTGCATTTAAACAGGATCTCCAAAAAGCCCACAGGTCAAATACCAAGCCAGGATCCTACAACGTGAAGTACAAAGACAAAAGAATAGTTTGCCTGAGTGATGCTAAGAGAAATCCCTTGCACAAAAAGAATGCACACAGCTTCGCTAAGAGTGACCTGATCCCATTCCTACCATTTCTCCCAAAGAACTGGGTGGAAACTTCACTTGCTCCTTTCTCATCAGTCACAAAGTGAAGCAAGAGGAGGGCACCTTCTTTTTTCCCTAAAATTATGCTAAAGAAAGAGATCCCCATTTCTGATCAGTGTTGCTTCTGCCTGAGATTTCCACAGGGATGAGATGCAAAACTCCACTTGGCATTTGATGGCTCAGAGAAGGCAGCTGGATTGCCTCCTCAGTGCATCTGTTTTCTACCACTTACATGAGGTACCCAGAGTGTCAAATTCATAGAAACAAAGTAGAACGGTTATTGCCAAGGGCTAGGGGAAGTGGGGAATGTGTTGTTGTCTAACAGGTATAGAGTTTCAGTTTTGCAAGATGAAAAAGTTCTGAAATCTGTTGCATGACAATGTGAATATAGGTACCACTACTGAACTGTACACTTAAAAAATGGTTAAGAAGGTAGATTTTATGTTGTTTTTTTATTACAATTAAAAATAAAATTTAAAGAAATTAGTAAAAATGAACCACTAGACATAATTGTCATATAGACATTTAACCTCAAAGAAAATATTCATAAGAATAGCTTCTTCATTGTGGCTAACTTGCTATGAATTAATTTTCCCCATTATCTATTTTCTGATAAAAAGCTTTTTACTTTATATTTGAAATTTATACTCTAAATGAATAGTACAATAAAATTTTAAAGCCCAAAGGGAACTCAGAAATGAGGAAACTGAAGCCTAAGTAGTATTTCCATCAATTTGAATGTTATTGCTATTATGCTTTTATTTTTCATCTTGCCAAAAAATATACTTTAAAAACATATTTTTTTGTATTGGATTTTTAAATTTTCTTTTTAATGCTAGCCTCATTTTAAAAAGCTAGTACAATTTCCCTTAGTGTTTTTGTATAAATATGTAAAGTTTCTCTGTCCTTTTTTAATCTGAATAAGTATAGCCTGGCCAGCATGACTCAGTGGTTGAGCATCAACCTATGACCCAGGAGATCGAGGTCTGATTCCCCATCAGGGCACATGCCTGGGTTTCGGGCTTGATCCCCAGTAGGGGGCGTGCAGGAGGCAGCCACTCAATGACTCTCCCATCACTGTTTCTCCTTCTCTTTCCTCTCTCTCTCCTCTCTCCCTGCTGAAATCAACAATTTTTGAATGAACCACTAGACATAATTGCCATATAGACATTTGAAATAAAAAAAATTTTTTTTTTAAAAAGGTCCATTTTTTTTTTTTTTTAAATAATCTATAATAGAAACCCTGCTGGTTGTCATATCTCATTTGTTCAGTCTCCCCAACTCTTCAGCAGTGTTTCTCAAACACAGTTAAGATGGTCTGGATCTCTTTGTATCTTCAAAACTTGGCAGAGTGGCTAGTGTGCAGCAGGCATATAACAACTGGCTGGCAAGGCCATGTTTCAAGAGCTTCCCAGAGTGGATCAAGACACAAGCCCAGAGCTCAGAGAGCCCCTACACGTGCAGAAAGATAACTCACTGCACCCAGTGGGGCCGTGTGGGTGCTGTGGTAGGCTCTGCGGCAAGGACTCTGGAAGCACCAAGGGGGAAGTGGCTGACTCTGCCTGCAGGTCAGAGAAGATTCCATAGAGGAAGTGCCACTGTACGGGCCTTGTCATATAGGCAGGACGCTGCTGGGTGAGAAGAAAGGAAAAGGCAACAGTACAGACAATGGCAATGAGGGGGGAGTCCAAGATGTCTGGAGCCTGGGTGAAGTAGTAAAGATGGGAGTAGAAATATAAATGAAATTTAAAATGTATGCCATTTTAAGAAGTTAGTCTTCCTCCTACCAGATGGTGAGCCTCCCACCCTACCCAGAAAGAATGTCCTCTCCTTCAGTATGTTAAGGCACAGAAACACTTCTTTTTTTTTCTTTTTTCTTTTTTAATATATCTTTATTGATTTCAGAGAGAGGAGAGGAGAGGGAGAGAGAGAGAGAAACATCAATGATGAGAGAGTCATTGATCGAGCCCACAACCCGGGCATGTGCTCTGACCAGGAACCGAACCCCGATCGCCTGGATCCCAGGTCGATGCTCAACCACTGAGCCACGCCCGGCCGGGCAGGCCCAGAAACACTTCTGAGAAACAATGCTGAAGGCACTGGGCACTAACAAAGGTTTTAAAACATGATCTCATACTGGGGAATGAGAAACATACTTTAAGCATATTACACATACCTTCATCTAAGCTACCAACGCTCTCCTAAAAGGAAAACAAGGCCCCTGGAACACTGTGAAGCTTCTTGTGAAGCTCTTACCTCTCAAACTCATTAATATGCATAATCCTGGGCCTTATAAAATATTACCCTTTGGATTTATCTTCCTCCTGCTCAAACCACCATGGGAATAGCCACCTTAGAACTTGATGCTTTCATCAAAACACTACAACTGAGGAATCTACTGGCCTCTCCACCCTTCGCATGGGCCTCTAACAACTGGCCCTAATATTCCCCCATAATTCAGACCACCCGTTCTAGCGAGTGCAGTTTCTGCCATGCCCTCTCACAGATCAGCATGTCTTCTACATTTCTACTCATTTTTCAAATTATTCCTTCTACCTAGAGTGAAAGGGAATTTTTCTTAAAGCCAGATCCTAAACTAAACTCCCTGCCAGTCTACTGCAATCTTACCGATGTAATGAAACTACTTCCTGACTAATAAATAATGAACTGCTGAATCTCAAGTCATCCCATTTAACACATTAAGCAGTGCCTTAGGTAGCTTTGTCTCTTTATCCAAAATTTAATTTTTGTCTCCAGAGCTAGAGTCCTTAAAGTTTGCAGGCCCCATTCCACAGCAGTAACTATTATTAAAATGCTCATTTTTCCAACTGGCAATACCTCCGCAGAGAGCTGGGAGCCTGAGGCAGGTGTGGGACAGAGAAACCTAATGTGTAGGACAGAGGCTGACACCTAAACACAGTCTGTACCTCTAAGCTACAAAAACAGCAGCAATAACTACCACATAAAATTCCTTCAATACTGAATTACATGTATTACAGAAATGAATAAGGAATTTCCACTATTTGGCAGAGGACACAATAAAACCATTAAAAAAGAATTAAGAAGTAAAAATAACAGTAGATAATTACTTATAAAATGTATAATTCTGTTTAGATTTTCCTCCCTCTGGGGCAAGAATCAGCTTCCTATAAAAATCAGAATATTTGCCCTACCCAGTTTGGCTCAGTGGTTAGAGAGTCAGCCTGCAGACCGAAGGGCATAGGTTTGATTCTGGCCAGGGCACGTACCTCGGTTGCAGGCTAGATCCCAGGCCCTGGCTGGGTGCATGCCAGAGGCAACCGATCAATGTGTCCCTCTCACTTCAATGTTCTCTCTCCCTCCTTCCCTCCCTCCCTTTCACTCTCTAAAAATCAATGGAAAAAATATCCCCAGGTGAGGATTAAAACACATACACAAAGCCAGAATATCTCATTTTCAATAACCCTACAACAGTCATCTACTTATAAGAAGGGGAACTGAGAATGAATGACACTATAAACCACAGCCTGCTAAAGCTAAGAATGGGATTCCATTCTCAGAAGATGGCATACAGCTCCAGCCCAAAGGGGGCAACAGCAGCTACTGTTGGTCTCACCCATGGCCACTGGTATGTCAGTCCAATTCAGAGCACATTTCTGTGTGCAGATCCCTTCCTCATTGAGCACCACGGTGAGATCATCCTGACCCACGGCCACTTTTCTGTCCGCCAGAGGGGCAACTAAGGGCTCCAGTTGTTTTCCTGTTGGAAAGAGCTCTTTGATAGACCCCTTTCCATCCACCTATGGGAAGACACAAAGTGAGTCACCCAGCATTCTCTGGCCAGAGGCATGAAAAACTCAAGATAAAACCCAAAACCTACAGAAACCAATAATAATCCTTGTTTGGCATACAGAAATAGATAACAAATACAGTCTGTTATGGAAAATTTTGTCACCACTATGTAGAACCAGTTCTCTTTTTCTCTAAGAGACATGCATCTAGCCTGGCAAATAATGTCTAGTGCTGACCAGGATGAAGAGCAACTGGAACTCTCACATTCTGCCCGTGAGAATGCAAAAGGGTACAGCCGTTCCGTCAGTTTCTTTTAAAGCTACATAAACACTTATGATGTAACCTAGCAATCCCATTACTACCCATTTGCCCAAGAGAAATGAAAACTTACTTTCATTACACAAAAACTTATATGCAAATGTTTATAGCAGCTTTATCAGAATGGCTAAAAATTGGAAATAACTTTGCCTTTCAACTGATGAATGAATAAAGCTGTAGTACATTCATACCATAGAATACTAATCAGCTATAGAAAAGAAGATATTGACACAACACAGATGAATGTCAAACGCATTATGCTAATCATGTACATGATTCCATTTATATGAAATTCTGGCAAACGTAAAACTATAAGAGACAAAGAACAGATTACTAGAGGGTGAGTGTAGGAGGAGGGGTTGACCTCAGAGGGGCAGCATGAGGGAATTTCTGGGGTGATGGAACTGTTCTAAATCTTGATTGTGGTGGTAGTTACAGAACTCTGGGCAATTTGTCAAAACTCAGAACTGTACATCAAAGAGAATAATTTTTACTGTATATAAACAAATGAGTAACTTTTAAATATCCTGGTCCCATAGCAAGATTTCCCACCCTCAAATGACTCTACCCTTAAAAGGGAGATGGAAGCCTGGCTGGCATGGCTCAGTGGTTGAGCACCAACCTATGAGCCAAGAGGTCACGGATGTCAGGTGATAAAAATACTCCAAGTTCTGGCTATCTCCCATCCCTTACAGATTTCTCTTGGCACCTATATGCCCAGATGCTATTCAGTCACTTGCACAACAGTGACTCCTTAAAGAGTTTACAACTCTGATACTGATAAAACTAGGATATTCCAACAATATAAATATGGAACAAATAATATATTAACTAGATAAACAATGAAGAGCTAACACAGTGGGGGTAGGGAAGGGGGGAGATGGGGAGAAAGGTTTCTAGAACTGCCAACACTGGATTATGAGAGGGGTATGAAGCTAAGAAATTTAGATGATTTATTAAATGAATGGTATATCAACCTTTTTCTATAGTTGTGTGCAAACAGTGCGCATACTGAAGAAAAAAGAGCAATGTTGTGGATAATTACTGCTTAGGTAAAAAAAAAGCAGGTTATATTACATAGTATAACATATGTAATACCCATATGCATATAATATGGTATATTTATAAATAAGGTGGAAAACCATATACCAAAGGGTTAACAGTGACTATTTTTGAGTGGAGGGATTACGGATGATTTGTGCCTCTTTTATTTTCCTTATCTATATTTTCTTATTTTCTATAATAAACACATTTGGCTTTTGAAGTTTAGAAAAACAAAACAGTGAAGATAATTTTTAAAACTCATATACTAAAAGATTGGGGGGGGAGCAGAAATCTCAAAGTCTTAAAAATACTTAAGGTAATACTAAAATAGCAGTCCACAACAATGCTGTTGGACAGAGGCAAGGAGCTCTAAAGATCTGTTACAATAATTAGGTACAGGATATGGATAATTCATTATGTAGAGAACTGAGAGTTGACTCTGCCTGGCTTAAGATACACAGGCATCTTATTTGTGGAAGATGCTGAGAGCATGAAAAATAACTAAATATACAAATACAAACCGTGTTATGCCAAAAACTCTACCTAAGGCAGTCTCTTGACTTATAGTTCAGAAGCACACAATCATCTTCCCCAACGGAAATTGATGATATTTGCAAAATAATAATTTTTACCCTTATTAGATAGTAGTCTCTCTTGAAACCCACACAGATGGAATTTTCACACCATGCCATGGACTTGGGCACATCTGGTACACTAAAGTCCCCCTGAAGAAAGACAGCAAGAGTTCAATTGGAAAGATGTTAAAAGAAAAAACTCCACCACGTTCCTGTTATTCCTTCCCCATTCTGCAAAATCACCCGCATTCTCACCTGAATTCAATTCTATATGCACAAGACCTGGAAACCACCCATAATAAAAATACAGCCAGTCCTTGAATAACGTCATTTCATTCAACATCGTTTTGTTATAATGTCAACAAGATGCTGTAGGAATTTAACTCGTTTATATCAATTAGCCTATTTTGTTATATGTCGTTTTGCTTAAAGTTGCAGAACCTATCAACTGCGTTACATGAGGACTTCCTGTTAAGTCACCCAAATACTGGACAATGTGCATTTGAAAACCCACTTTGAAATAAACCAACCTTTACAGACTTTGTACAACTGTATTACTGCTGCCTCTGAAGAGCACAAGACTTTGACCAGTGGGCAGGAAGAAGCTCTCAGGTACAGAGCATTCATCTGAAGAAAACTCCAACTGGGATCCTGACCTTCACTACAACTGAACCGCTCGTCTTTCAAGCTGCAGGTCAACTCTAGCAGCACGTCCTACCCAACCCATGGACCAGGTAACAGTGGACTTTACCTGCAATTCATGAAACTCCCTGTCCTTCCAGAAATAGAGCTGCAGCTTCTTTTTCACAGCTACACACATCCGCAACACCTCCTCACCAGTCTCTATGTGCTGGGAAGACACACCCAGAGCAAATGAGGATGCGCACACAATGACTCTATAACTGAACAACAACTAGGTTAGAGAGCTTCTACCTTGCAATGGCTACCAATCTGAAAACCCCCTGTAATACAGTCATATAGCCAGGCAAGCTAAGCTGAGGAACGCCGGTGTCTAAGGTGAGCTCAGAAACAATGGGCTGAGGAGCACTTCCTCGCCAAGGTCTGCCGGTCAAAGGCCCTCGCACCGGCAACTCTTGTGGACATTCTTACTCGGAGAGGACAATCCCGGGGCAGGCCTTCACCTATACAACCGCTTCCCTCTTCCTCCCCCTAAATGCTTCTCGCTCCTGGCTGTCCATACATGCTGGGTCAGAGATCAGCATGTGTCAGTGGCCACTTTCAATCCTTTAAAGGAGTTGGGGGAAAGAAAACATCGACGCATAAAACAGTGCAGTGTCAATGCAGTTCAGCAATGCTAAAGAGTGATCAGAGTTGGGAGTAAGGCAGATTTTGAAGAATGTGTGATAAATTAGCAAAAATAAGGAGAAATGTCTTTCCTGAATGTCAAAAACTCTCCTAAAGACAAAGGCCACAATGATATGCTTAGAACAAGAGTCAATTTAATGTCTCATAGTTATGTTCATGGTACTGCTACAGGTTTGATTTCCTAGTAAAGGTATGTCCATGACAGGTGTTTTTATTTTTATTCTTGGTTAGTTGCCTCCTGCCATACAGATGTCTGGTGCTCTAATTAGCACACATACCAGGAATGCAAATGTTTCAACCTCGGACTACATATGAGGGGAAAACTCCTCTAATGCAATCCAAAATCAAATATTCTCTTTGGAGTCTCTGCTGGGTTTGGATATCAATGTTATTCTTCCCATCTAAAGGTAGAAATGATAGAGGAAAGGCTGTATTTATTGAAGCACAAAATCGAATTTCATCTTGCCAACACTTACCTGGAGGTCACATGTGAACAACGATGCTCCCTTTGCCTTTGAAACCGTAGTGATTTGTTGAAATGTTAATAGGTCATGGACATAAATATTATTTTCTGTTTAGAGGAGACAAAAAATCACAATAAATTATCACAATTCTCTAGTACAGCCACCTTCAAGATAAAAACACACACAAACAAACAAACAATAAAAGTATAACTACCAAAGGAACCAAATGGCAAATGTTGGTAAAAGATGGACCTTCAGTTTCACTAACAATGATTTATTCTGGTCTATTACGAAACATTGAAGAGGTCACTCAGCCTTCCGAACTTGGATATTTTGTTCCTTTAAACTGGGGCTGGCTTGAATAAAAGAGCTCTTTCACTTCCAAAGCACTCTTACACTGTTTCTCAAGTCTGGAAATTTGTGATGCAATATTTGTATAAGAAATGGTTTTCAAAGCTACTTACATTAGGAGGCTCCAATAAGAGAAAGGAAACCCCCTGCAGATTTTGTACAAACCCATTGCAAGAATTTCTTTTCTAGCAAAGCAAGCAAAATAATTTCACTCAGGCCTCCTAACTTTTGTCATGAAGATTTAGTTACTTTCAATGTTCCCTCTCTCAACCCAGAATCTAAGTTTAAAATGATTCTACTATTTGGGCACTGGGCTTAACAGTACTGAGTGTGCAGCAAGTTTCTAGTCGTCTGCTTGCCTCAGCTAGTCCTCACTGGCTGCCTTCCATGAAGCTGTGGCTTTCACACAAGGCCCTGAAGAGTCTGGCCCAGATCTGTCTTTCACCTGTCTCTTGCCACTCTCCACCACATAACCTAAGTCTGGCCAGTCTCAGGGCCTTTGCTTAAGCTGTTCCCTCCACCTATAATGCTCTGCCTACCACTTTCTTTCTGTCAAAATCCTAATCATCCACTAGATAATGTTGTCCCTCCCATTACTAAGGTCCCACAACACTTTTTATAACTTTCCATGGTAACTTACCACACTGTATCATGATTACTTTGTCATTTCAGTCTCACAATCAGAACACAAGATAGAACCCATGTCTCATTCAACTCGGTATCCCCAAGGCCTAGAGTAGGGCTCAATGAATATTTGCTCAATTAATGAATGAATGAATGAATGAATGAATGAATGAATGAATGAATGAATAAAGTTGACACTCCTTGGAGAACAAAGCTCAAGTTTATGGAGGATGCTGTTGCCTTAGTTACCTGTGTAGCCTGTTATATCTTGTTTGGAACATGTCAGTTTCATTGTTAAGTAATGGCTATCAAATTAACTATGAAAGGATTAATTAGGTCATAGTTTATGTTTTTTGACACATGAAATACAATCATAATCCCTTTTCTTACCTAACAAGCTGACTAGAATCTTAAACTGGGAAACGACATGGATCTGGAAAAGAGCAAATCATTAGACTCAATTAAACATTCCTGACAAGGGTTAGCAAACATTCATTTAACTACAGTCCTAAAAAGGGACTAAAGAACCTGTACCAATGACAGGGATCTGACTTATGAATTAGAGGACAGAGCAGTGGATTCAAAGAGTTAAATAATGTGACCAACGTTCTAGCTTTGCCAGGGTCTGTAGAAATCAAGTATAAATGTAGCAACCACCACAGCCGCCTACCTGTTGAATCTTTTTGGAGAAGTTCTTATTGGATTTCTCTAGTGTCACTTCAAACCTGTTGCAGCCTATGGAAAAGAAACAAACACAGTTCCAAACACAGGAATACAATATAAAAATTACAACACAAAATGCTGCTCCATACTGCTCTCCTACATGAGAGTCTTTTAAAAAATCTTACAAGACTAGAAGTCAGAGATGTAAAAGAGCCAGCTGTCCTTATTGCGTATAGTAAGTTGCTTTCAACTCCAATTTTAGAGCAGAGGGCTTCATGCACTTCCACTTGGCATTAGAGACAGCATCACACCACAGTTTACTGAAGCTGCAAGGTACTTGTGAATCTGAAGATCTTATCCTACAAAATAGTACCTTGGCAAAGTATTTCGCAAAAAAAAGAGTGTAAAAAGTAACAGTCAAATGTAAGAGCTCAAGCAATGAAACCCAGCCCAAAGCATCCTTAGATCCAGACCCAACTAAATCCCAGCTGTTACCCAATGTCCTGGGACAGAGCAAACACACTCAACACCATCCCCAGAGCTAAAGTAATTTAGCGCATCTACACTTACTGCCACTTTCAGGTGATGCCACAGCGGCTGGCACTGTTGCAAGAAAGGGGGAAAAGTTATATACCATAAAAACATGTGAAGCCAGCCTTGCTGGGATGACAAAAATATTCAGCCTCAAAAGTCACCAAAGAGTCAAAAAGAAAATAATAACAGCAGCTATCATTAATTGGGTTTTAACATTTAAGTGTTTTCAGTAACCTCCCAACTAACCCCAAGAAACAGGTATTATTATTCCAATTTCATATCTGAGGGGCCTCATGGGTCAAGCAGTTAGGTAGCAGCCCAGGTAAAGGCGATCCAGAAACAAGCTCGGGGCTGACGGGCAGCCCACGCCCCGAGCCCACACCTGCCCCCTGCCTCCCAGCTCCTGGAGAAACTGCTCACACTGCTGACCCCAGCTGCGCCCCACACCCAGGAGAGCTCCTGCCCCCCCAAAGTCAGTGGAGATTCTCTGAGGCAGCCACAAAGGCCCATGCTACCAAAGCTGGTCATACTTCCTCCATGTGTAACTCAGCAGAGAAGTTGAAGAAGGGGTCGTGAAGTTTCGGGAGATTCACAAACATGCCCTGTACCCTGCCATTATATTTCATAAGAAAAAGAATAATTCGGTCACTTCCTGCTTGACAGAGAGTTCAAATAGAGAGTTCTCTGTTTGAAAAGGGCTTTATTATTACTTGGAACAATTTTCTTTATAAGCAGAATGCTCTAGGGCAAAGATTCTAAAACCGTTTTGGTTTTAGGACCCCTTCATAATCTTAAAAATTATTGAGGACCCCAAAACTTTTATGTGGGTTATAGCTATCAAAGTTTGCCATACTAGAAATTAAAACTGAAAAAATTATGCCCTGGCCAGTGTGCTTCATTTGGTTGGGCGTCGTCCCACGGGCCATGCCAGTTTGATTTCTGGTCAGGGCACAAGCCTGGGTTTCAGGCTCGACTCCCTGTGGGGGACATGCAGGAGGCAACCCACGGATGTTGCACTTTCACATCGATGTTGCTCTCTCTCCCTCTCCAAAAGTCAATATACTATTCTATTAAAAAAAAAAAAAAAAAAAAAACTAAAAAAAAATTTAAATGTTATTTATTAACTCAAAAATAACAGTGATAAACCCATTACATTTAGCATGAATAACATACTTTAATGAAAAAATTTTTTTCAAATTAAAACAAATGCACTGTTTTACATTTTTGCAAATCCCTTTAATGTCTGGACTAACAGAAGACAGCTGGACTCTCAATCTGTTTCTGCATTTAATCTGTTTTGATACATTGCTTTGGTTGAAGTATAGGACAAAAATCTGTCCTCATATGGGCAATATAGGTAGACAAGGGAAGAATATTTTAACAGCTTTTCCAGATTAGTCATGATCATCTTTGATACTATACCCAAACTTGACAAAGTTTTTTACAATGTGGAATCTGAAACCTATTAATGAACTTCTCTTTAAAGTTCAGTGGTCTATCTTACACTTTGAATGGATCTTTTATTCATGATTTAGAAACTGCATGCCCTGGAAAATATTGGTTTACTGAGTTATGCAGATTTTCCAAATGCTGGCACATTTCGTTACAGGATATATTTTTTAAAATCATACTCATTATTCCCCCCAATCTCATGAGAGAAAACTTTAATATTGAGAAGCTGTCAAGCTCATGGGTGTGGGTACAAGTTTTCCACAATTCTAATTCTCTCTCAAAAGCTCTAACTTTATCATTAGCAACAAAAATTGTCAGTTGTTTTCTTTGAAGTGACAGACTGCCTTTGCTCATTTTAGAAAAAATATCTACCAGATACCCAACTGGTCTGAAAGACCATAGTCTACCTATCAGTCATTCTTTCAAGCAAAAATGATGCTCCATGAAAAAAAGTGGCCAGTTTGGCTCATAACTCAAACACACAAACCCAGACAGCAGCTGTGCTTCATGCCTTGGCACCCTATAGAAGAGAGTCATGTGAACTTCCCATGACATCACAGAGATTATTAAAAAGATGTGTTCTCATAGGTCAGGATATAATAAAATGAAGAATTTTTACTGTCTCACAAAGAACATTCTTAAGTGAAACCAGCTTTTTAAGAAAAAAACAAACCACTGCGAGTGCACGCTGGAGAACACAACTCCTAGCACAGTTTGGTACCAACAAGTTTGCTGATCACTATCTTGAACTTGTGCTAAGGGGCCAGCAGTTTTAGCTGCCATTATTTTTTTTTTACCATCAGTGCAAATGTAAATAATTGTTGGTGAAAAAAACAATAATGTTTTAGGGTTACCATGAACTCAGTTTTGACCTTGTAGATCCTCTGAAAGGATCTTGGGGACCACACTTTGAGAACCACTGCTCTAGGCAGACAGCACCACCGAAGGAAACCTAAAGCTGTTAAGACCTTAGATGTGCACTAATCTAACCTCTTTGTTTAAGACATGAGTAGAATGAAGCCTGGAGACTTTTTTGAGTTCAAAGGAGATGGCTCACGTCAGATCTGAACCCAGTCCCCTTAATCCCAGCCTTTCCATGACATCTTGTTACCCGCTTCCTTTCCTCAGGAAGACAGTCTAGTTGCAGACCTATCCAGGTTTGGAATATCTCAGATTTAAAAACCGAGTTAGTTTATGGCTGATTCACAGAGGCCCAGGTCTAGTGCTGGCCCAAAAACAAACCAGAACTAAACTGCTCTCTAAGCGTATAGGAAGAAGTTTCTAATCAGAGTCTGATTTTCTAATAGTCTAAGGTAGGTTAATATTGCTATTCATGTTGCCAATGGGGAAACTGAGGCCTAGGAAGATTAACTAACTTGTCAAAGGTTACATGGTTGAAATGATCACAGGGCAAAACTGTCACCACCAGGGTTCCAAGTCAGATTCACACTAATATTTTCAGTTTGAGTCTATGCTATGTTGAAAGATTTATTTTTATAGTCTAGTTTTCAATTCCTCATCATTTATACATAAATGGTATATTAAACAAGTCACTTTATTATAGTATTCAACATTTGATGGTACAAAGAACTGATTCTCTGTTCGTGGAAAAGAATACTAGGCTCTTATCTCCATGTTCTGCACAGTATCTGAACCCAAAATAGTCAAAACACAGCTGCTGAATGCTGAACAAACTCCAAGGCAAGCTTAATTTTCAAATTACAGACTGGGTAGATGCCGCAGAATGCAAATATTCTGGCTCTGAGAACTAAAAATTTAAAGCAAGAGCCAGCAAAGTACTGTCCATGGGTCAAATCCAACCCTTGACATGTTTTTGTAAATAAAGTTTTATTGGAACATAGCCACGCCCCTTATTTACATATTGTCTATGGCTGCCTTTTTGCTACAACAGCAGAGTTGAGTGGTCACAACAGCATCTAATGACCTGCAAAGCCTAACGTATTTACTATTTTGTCCTTTTTTGGAACAAGTTTGCTGATCCCTGATTTAAACTAAAGTTGAAACACTTAGAAATGAAATAAACACTGTTTTGAACTTACGGTTTCTCTTCTTACCACACCACAGCAGGTGCCTTTCTCTTCCTACTGCACCAGTGAAGGGCAGAATATGCCACCTCAAAATATGCTACTTTGGCTTAAGAATTATTTTGAGCTGAAGGCAACTGAGAAGAAGCAAGTACAAGAAAAGCTCTCTCTGCTCTCCTCCTATTTGCCTAAAAGCAGGACATAAATTTACAAAGCTGTCTCTCCTCCCCTCTCTATCAGGAAGGACAGAACTTAATCAATGGAAACAACTCAAGACCCTTATCAGCCCAGAGATGGCAGCAGAGGAATCTACATAATAAACTTATCTCCAATTACATCCCCCATATATTTGCTTTGCCACAATTTGTCACTCTAGCAACTCAAAAGTCCTTTTCCTTTGTCTGGTCACTTCTCTAAAAATGTGTTGTGTGCTTGTTAGGATGATACAAAGGCCCAAATTCTAATCACCCCTTTGCCTCATTCGTCTCTGAGTGCTCTCATGTGCTATACAATGCACCAGGTAATAAACCTCCACTTGTTTTTCTCTTGTTAATCCGGTTTTTGTCTGTCTAATTTACAGGTCCCTGGCTGATGAACCTAAAATGAGTAGAGGGAAAAAGAATTTTTCTCCTTCCCTACACCAGTAAGATGTTCTTCCCTTCCAATGTTACCTTTGCTCTAGGTTCTGAAGACTCTATTTCCATCTTCCCTTAAGCTACTTACTACAGAAAGTTATTAGGTTGCAAGCTATGACATTTTGCTTTTTCTAACATGGTCAAATAATGGCAATTTCATATGGTTCAAGGGGCTGTGGCATGAACAGATTTCTACAGACCTGAAGCTCCAGGGCACAATACCCAAACAGATCAATTTTCCATAAAGAGGGTGGAGAAATAAAATTAGGAAAAGGAAATGACGTGCTTTTTCTGTTAGAGGGTACTCTAGCAGAATCAATTTCACATACTTTTTACTTACTAGTCTACATTTTTACTGACAAAGCCACATTTGATTAGAACTTTCGTTTTTAAAGTCCTTTCAAACATTTTATTGTATCTGACACCAACAAATTTGTGAGAAAACCAGTTTATGAAAAAGAAAAATGACATTGGAAAGGACCTACTCAGTCAAATAGCCAAACACAAAGCTGGACTCAAACCCAGGTCCTTTTCCTCCCAGTTTACCCGCTGTAAGGTAATAAGGTCTTTTAAATCAATGGTTCCTGATTTCTTTCCCTATTACTACATCACTTAAAGAAAAATCTTATTCCCATTAGTAATATTTCTTATTTCTGGCAGTGAGTCTCCAAAAACTGAGGAGGGGAAGAACATCTAGTCCCCTCTGACCCAACCCCACCCCGCAAACCCCATGGCATATGGGCAGTGAAAATTTTTTTAAAACCTGGAGATTCTTGCCTGGCCAGATGTGGCTCAGCGGTTGAGCACCGACCTAGGATCCAGGAGATCATGGTTCGATTCCTGGTCAGGGCACATGCCCGGGTTGCGGGCTCCATCCCCAGTTGGGGGCATGCAGGAGGCAGCCCATCAATGACGACTCTCATCATTGATGTTTCTATCTCTCTCTCTCCCTCTTCTTTCCTCTCTCTAAATCAGTAACAATATGTTTAAAAAATAATAATAAAAAAATAAAACCTGGAGATTCTCACATGCTTCTCCTCACTCTCCCCTGGGCTATTCCCAACCCCCATTCACTCTTTTAATGGTTCAGAAATCACTGATTTCACAGTTGTTCATTAGCCAACTACCAAAACTTTTTTTTGGGGTGGATAGTAAGTCATGTCTTTATCAGTCTGGAAAGCTGCCACTTACCAATGTCCTTCCGAATCCTATACAGAAGGAGATGTCCTTGTTTCGTTCCAACGAGAAGCCACTCCTCTGGAAAAGGAAAGAGCTGTGAGAATCGTCAGCCAGTTTTAGGCAGACCCTTTCCTTATCTGGGGGTTGTAATCAGAATCAAAGGGTCACGAAAGTGAGGTGTGTTTTTTATAGCAGGTGTTTTGCAAAGCTAAAGAATGTTTATAGTCAAGAAATATTTGAGAATCAACCAATCAAAAAAGCATTTATTCAACAACTGCTAGACTAGACATAATAAAGAATTAAAAAAAAATCCCTGGCTTCATTGTTTCAAAATTAAACTGACCAAAAATATCACGGAAGTTTACAAAATCATAAGATGGATAGTATAAACATGAAATTAGGTATCTTATCTCAGAAATAACAACTAAAAGGCATCCTCTGAAAGTTTAATGATTTAACTTTTAGGAAAATAAGAAGTGCCATAGTATATTAAGGTTACAGAATTCATTATCTCAAAAGATGGTCTAGCAGATAATAACAAGTGTTGATGAAGATGGGCATAAATTGGAACCCTCATACATTATTGGCAGGAATACAAAATGGTGCAGTCACTTTGGAAAACAGTGTGACAGTTCAGCAAAAGACTAAGCATAGAGTTACTATATGACCTAACAATTCTACCCCTGGGCATAGAGAAATGAAAACATACATCCACACAAAAACTTGTACACAAATGTTCATAGTATCATCATTTGTAAAAGAAAAAGGTGGAAACAACCCAAATGTCCATCACCCGATGAACAGATAAACAAAATGTGGCGTATCCATACAATGGAATATTAGCCAGCTATTAAATGAAGTGCTGATACATGCTACACCAGGGATGAATCTGACATTATGCTAAATGAAAGAAACCAGACCAAAAAGGCTACATGTTGTTTGATTCTATTTATATGAAACGTCCAGAACAGGCAAATCTATAGAGACAAAAATATTAGTGGTTGCCTAGGACTGGTGGGCTTGGGAGGAAATAGGGAATGAATACTAATGGGTTTGGGGTTTCTTTTTAGGGTGATGAAAATGTTCTAAAATTCCACTGTGGCAATACTTGCACAACTCTGTGAATGTACTAAAAACCACTGAATTAAACATTTTAAATGGGTGAATTTTATGTATGTGAATTACATTTTAATAAAGCTCTTATTTAAAAAAGATGATTGAGGCCCATACCTCTTAAACTTTGGTGTGCATCAGAATTATTTGATTGAGGCTTTGTTGACATTGCTGGGCCCTGACCTGCTTATTATTCAATAGGTCTGGAAGTGGACCTGGGAATTTGCATTTCTTTTTTTTTTCTTTTTCTTTTTTTCTTAAACCCTTACCCAAGGATACTTTTTCCATTGATTTTTTATTTTAGAGAGAGTGGAATGGAGGGGGGAAGAGAGAGAGAAAAAAAAACATCAGTGTAAGACACATTGACTGGTTGTCTCCTGCCACGCACTCTGACTGGGGCTGGGAACGAACTTGCAACCCAGATGCATGCCCTTAACTGGAAATCGAACCCACGACCCTTCGGTCTGTGAGCCGATGCTCTAACCACTGAGCCAAACCAGCCAGGGCTGCATTCCTAACAGGTATCCAGCTGATGCTGTTGGTTCAGGGGCTCCATGTTGGGAGACATTGGTCTACACTAAAAGTAAAGAGGTTCTGAAAGGGTTTAAATAATTACCCTGACAGATCTATATTTACTAATTAAGAGAAGTCAAGCACATACAGATACTTCTTCAGCTTTCTAATCTTGTAACACAGAGGTCAGTCAATCATACGCTCTTGCTCCTTGCAAAATAAAATATTGAATAATAGTACAAATAAACTATATTGAGCATGCATTGTATTACAGGAAATACTAAGCACATATCATGCTATTTAATTAACCCTCACAACTATCCTTTGAAATATGTCCTTTTCATAAATCCTCATTTTATATGTGAGGGAGTTGAGGCCTTGGGGATAGTGACTTGTCCAGAGTCACACATGTAGTAAGATGTGCATAGGAATGTCAAGACCTAACCACATGCTGTGATGCACTTAATAGGGCACCCACGTCAGAAGAATGGGTGTTGGCCAGAGGCTGTTGGAAGGCAGTGGTTATATTTATAAAAGCAAATCAGGAGCCACCTCAGGAACATTTCTCCAGGTTGATGTTGTTAGTCTTCCAGAAAAAGGTAGTGATTCTGTCTTCTTTTATTTTGCATTTTAAAACAAAGGCAGGACACAGAAAATAAGTCACTAAGTGCTCTTAACAACATAAGTGGAAATCAGAAACAATACTAGCTCTAATGGAATGCTGGAGATTTATGTTGGAGCAGAATATGGGGGGAAAAGAATTCAGCTTACAGTACTTGCTTTGTAAAAGATATTGTTTAGATACCACTGTATTGAGTAATTGGTAATATTAAAGTTGATTTTTAGGACACCCACTGATATTTCAGATATAAATAAAATGAAGTGTGAAGTGTTTAAAAATTCTCTTATAATATACATAAAAATCTATAACCAAAAGGCCAACATAATAACGTTCACCATCTTCCCTATCCTTCTTCACTGTGCCCCCCAAACCCCTGCCAGTTCCTGTTTTTCTTTATCTCTTTCAACAGCCTTACCTTCCACGAGGTCTGCAAGGCCTACCAATTTTCCTTCCACAAGGTACCTCCCAAAAGCCTTCTCCCACAGTCTCTCCAGGGATTCCTGTGATGGCCTCAACTTGTCTCACTCCATGTGTTTTTCCACGCTTGCTGTCGGGTTACCTTACAGCAGATCTCTGATGCTGTCCCACAAGGGCTTAAATTCTCATGAAGCTATGCTACCTCAATATGCAGTCAAACTCATAAACATGACATTTGAGAGTCCATTTTCCATTTTTATTGAAATACTTATTTGCCAATAGATGTTTCTTATCAAATGTCTACTAGTCATAAAATGGAATTAGATAAGTTCATTGAAACTGTTTAAAAAGCCCTGGCCAGTTTGGCTCAGTGGTTAGAGCGTCAGCCCGTGGACTGAAGGGTCTTGGGTTTGATTCCAAACAAGGGCACATACCTCGGTTGGTTGCTCAATCCCCCACCCTGGTCAGGGTGCATGCGGGAGGCAGCCAGTCAATGGGTCTCTCTCACACTGATGTTTCTCTCTCTCCCTTCCACTCTCTCTGAAAAGCAATGGAAAAACTATCCTCGGGTAAGGATGGAAAAAAAAAAAAAAGAAATTGTTTAAAAAAATTTTTAATATGTTTTTATTGATTTTGGGGGGAAGAAAGAGAAGGAAAGAGAGAAACATCGATGAGAGAGAAATACTGATCAGGTGCCTCCCATGTGCCCCCTACCGGGGACTGAGCCTGAAACCCAGGCATGTACCCTGATATGGAGTTGAACCAGCAACCTTTTGGTGCACGGGACAATGCCCAACTAACTGAGTCACACCAGCCAGGGCTGTTTTAAAAATTTTTAATTGAAATTTTATTTGACCCTTTTCAACCTTTCATTTGGAGGTGCTAAGGAAAAATGCCTTCATCATATATGCAAAGTATTGTAACAACTTTCCTTTAAATAGTAAAAGCACCATACACATACTCATTCCTAATCCCCAAAGTCATAAGGAAAATGGAATAAGAGCATAGAACCCGGAAGAGGCTTAATTTGGTTACAGAGGACCTGAGCCACACTGGACCTTCATGTCCTAGTGACATGTCACCGTATAACAAGCTGTGCATGCAAAACACAGAAAATGAGGAGCCTGCAGAGCCGGTACAGCGCAGGGTAAACAGTCCCTTCTGAGACTCAACACTGCATATCACACTACACAAATAAGTAACACACTCATAAGCAAATGAGAATAAGCCCTATAAAACTCCTGACAGCTTAATTCTGAGACACCAGGTTGGACTTGATCCCTCCTCAGAAGTGAGCAAGGCTGGTCCTTCTTGCTCATAATTACCCTATTGAAGCTCTGTCTAGCAGTGCAACCCAGTCCAACTTCATGGGATAAACAACTCCATTCCTGGCCCAATGCTGGCCATTGCAGGGAATAAGCTGGTGCTCACTTCTCTTCATTGGGTCAGAGTGTGTCTCAGAACATAAGCCCCTGATTAGCCACATCGGAATCACTTGCACTTATTAAAAATGCACATTCCTGAGCCCTGCTCCCAGAGATCTGGAGTCAATGATTCTGTGGTGGTGGGTGCCCTGAAATTTGCATTTTTAAATTTCATTTTATTATATGAGATATTTATGTAGTTCCAAAGTTAAAACTGTGAGAAATCTAGCTTCCATCCTTGTCCACTCTACCCTGTTCTCTCCTATTATAGGTAAGCATTTTAGTAGTTTGTGATTTATTTTTCCACTGTTTCTTTGCATAATATAAGCAAATATGATTGTGTATATACAAATACACACACACACAAATCTGCATTTTTGTTACAGGCTCTGAATATACATTAAAGTTTGGGAACCAGGCTCTAGAATCAGTCATAATTTACTAGATACACAACCCTGAAAAAAATTTAAATTCTCAGGTTTTTCCTCTGCAAAATGGAGTTATTATTTTATAAAAGCTCAATATGATTAGTATTCAATAAATATAATCTATTATAATTAATATTATTAATTAATAAAACAAATACTTAATGGATACTCATTAGGACTTTGGAACTGTTCTAGGGACTGCATACAAAGCAATATAAAAAACAAAGTTACTACTCTGAAGAAATTTATATTCTAATAAGGCAATAATAATATACAAAATAGCATTAGATGGCACTCCATGATAAAAGGGAAGATAAGACTGAGTAAGAGAATAGCACACTGGTGGATGTAGCATTCCCTTTAATACAGAACAGTTAGGGAAGGTCTTGCTGATTTATGTGACATTTCAGCAGACACTTGAATGAAATGAGGAATGAGCCATGAAATATCTAAGGCAGAGGAAACAGCAAGTGCAAAGGCCCTGAGGTAGATATGTGCTGTATGTGTTCATGGAACAAGAAAGACCATGTAACTAGTACTAGATAGGTTCAAGAGATAAGAGCAAAGGAAACAAAGTCAGAGAAGTAACCAGAGGCCTAATGATGTCAGGTATAGCCTGCCATGGTAAGGACTTTGGAACTTATTATAGTTGTGATAGGAAGCTATTGAAGGGTTTTGAGCAGAGAAAAGATGTGATTAGATTAAGTTTTCACAAGGTGGCTCTATATGGATAAAAAACTGAAAATGGCACAATGACAAACACAGGGTGATCAGTCTGAAGACTTCTATAGTAATTCAAATGAGAGAGGATGGTGAATTCATCAAGAGTAGAAAGAAATGGTTGGATTCTAGATTTATTCTGGAGGTGGTATCTTGAAGACATCTTCCAGTTCAGGCCCTGCAGGCTCCTGAATGAGTATCAAGTAATATGGATAATGACTAGAAATATTTATTGTTGCTAAAGTCTGAAAATAAAGTAGTTTTGAGGCAGAAGGTGGTAAATGACCTCTTGTAGCCCCAGTATCTACCACAGCATCCTAATAGGCAACAGGCATTTCTCCTGTTTGGGAGATCCAAAGCTACCTACCATTTCAAAACTGCCTTCAAGAAAAGCACAGGTACAGGGAATCTTTACTGTGACCAAGTGGAGTTGGTGAGAGGACTACTAGTTCCACAGGGTATCAGAGTCAAGCACTGGGACAAGCTAAGTAGAGTGTGGTAAGCAGCTGCACCCATCCTTTTAGAAGCATATGTCCTAGACAGAGTTGGGTACCCCTCCTTCATGTTTCCCTAATATGCAGCATATGTCTCTAGTATCATTTATCTTGTATCATAATCTGTTTATATGTCTTTGTCCCCCATTGTGTGTCCTAGAAGCACAGGTACTGTGTCTTACTCATCCTTATATTCCTGTCCCTACCAGAGAGGCTGGTCTATGTAGGCACTTAATACATATTTGATGAAGAAATAGGGGAATGAATCCCTTTGTGCAGTGTCAGGTCTTTCATTTTTAAAGTTTTTTTCCCCTCTATTTTTAATTCTTACTGAGAGCATTTAATGACAGAAAATGAAAACCTTCTTGACATATCTGGAGGAAGCAGGATTCTCTCCTTAACTTAAAGGACTAAAACAACTTACTATGGAGGTGTGATTTTAAAGAGGCCTAGGGCTGTTAAAGGCAGGAGGGGTGCATATTAACATGAAGATCTGTGGTGAAAGCACCCTACTGAAGAGGCTGCAAAGAACTCTGCAACACTGACTGGGTGGCACTCTCCAGATGATGCATAAGATGCCAGCCACCATCAAGATTCCTCCAGGCCCTCAATATAAGATATGATTAAGGGTTCTGGGCCACCTTTTTATGTCCCTTGATTTCTAGTACCTGGACATTAGCAGGAAAGATTGAAATTATTTGTTTGGTCTTTGGTGGCTATTAGACACAACCAGTCACAGATAAGATCATAATGTTCATAGTTAAGAGTCAAAGTTTAGACCCCTAAAACCTTTGTGTTCCGCACTATACAAGAGATAAGAGATCCTGACCCTGGCTTTCTGCACTGCCACTCCCAAGAGTCTTATGCCAGTTATGATGAGTTAAACTTCAAGACAGCCTGGAATGATATTCTTCTACCTACAGAGTTAGGTAAGTTGGGTACTTGAATATAAGGCAATGAACCACTTGGCTAGATCAGCNTAGCACACTGGTGGATGTAGCATTCCCTTTAATACAGAACAGTTAGGGAAGGTCTTGCTGATTTATGTGACATTTCAGCAGACACTTGAATGAAATGAGGAATGAGCCATGAAATATCTAAGGCAGAGGAAACAGCAAGTGCAAAGGCCCTGAGGTAGATATGTGCTGTATGTGTTCATGGAACAAGAAAGACCATGTAACTAGTACTAGATAGGTTCAAGAGATAAGAGCAAAGGAAACAAAGTCAGAGAAGTAACCAGAGGCCTAATGATGTCAGGTATAGCCTGCCATGGTAAGGACTTTGGAACTTATTATAGTTGTGATAGGAAGCTATTGAAGGGTTTTGAGCAGAGAAAAGATGTGATTAGATTAAGTTTTCACAAGGTGGCTCTATATGGATAAAAAACTGAAAATGGCACAATGACAAACACAGGGTGATCAGTCTGAAGACTTCTATAGTAATTCAAATGAGAGAGGATGGTGAATTCATCAAGAGTAGAAAGAAATGGTTGGATTCTAGATTTATTCTGGAGGTGGTATCTTGAAGACATCTTCCAGTTCAGGCCCTGCAGGCTCCTGAATGAGTATCAAGTAATATGGATAATGACTAGAAATATTTATTGTTGCTAAAGTCTGAAAATAAAGTAGTTTTGAGGCAGAAGGTGGTAAATGACCTCTTGTAGCCCCAGTATCTACCACAGCATCCTAATAGGCAACAGGCATTTCTCCTGTTTGGGAGATCCAAAGCTACCTACCATTTCAAAACTGCCTTCAAGAAAAGCACAGGTACAGGGAATCTTTACTGTGACCAAGTGGAGTTGGTGAGAGGACTACTAGTTCCACAGGGTATCAGAGTCAAGCACTGGGACAAGCTAAGTAGAGTGTGGTAAGCAGCTGCACCCATCCTTTTAGAAGCATATGTCCTAGACAGAGTTGGGTACCCCTCCTTCATGTTTCCCTAATATGCAGCATATGTCTCTAGTATCATTTATCTTGTATCATAATCTGTTTATATGTCTTTGTCCCCCATTGTGTGTCCTAGAAGCACAGGTACTGTGTCTTACTCATCCTTATATTCCTGTCCCTACCAGAGAGGCTGGTCTATGTAGGCACTTAATACATATTTGATGAAGAAATAGGGGAATGAATCCCTTTGTGCAGTGTCAGGTCTTTCATTTTTAAAGTTTTTTTCCCCTCTATTTTTAATTCTTACTGAGAGCATTTAATGACAGAAAATGAAAACCTTCTTGACATATCTGGAGGAAGCAGGATTCTCTCCTTAACTTAAAGGACTAAAACAACTTACTATGGAGGTGTGATTTTAAAGAGGCCTAGGGCTGTTAAAGGCAGGAGGGGTGCATATTAACATGAAGATCTGTGGTGAAAGCACCCTACTGAAGAGGCTGCAAAGAACTCTGCAACACTGACTGGGTGGCACTCTCCAGATGATGCATAAGATGCCAGCCACCATCAAGATTCCTCCAGGCCCTCAATATAAGATATGATTAAGGGTTCTGGGCCACCTTTTTATGTCCCTTGATTTCTAGTACCTGGACATTAGCAGGAAAGATTGAAATTATTTGTTTGGTCTTTGGTGGCTATTAGACACAACCAGTCACAGATAAGATCATAATGTTCATAGTTAAGAGTCAAAGTTTAGACCCCTAAAACCTTTGTGTTCCGCACTATACAAGAGATAAGAGATCCTGACCCTGGCTTTCTGCACTGCCACTCCCAAGAGTCTTATGCCAGTTATGATGAGTTAAACTTCAAGACAGCCTGGAATGATATTCTTCTACCTACAGAGTTAGGTAAGTTGGGTACTTGAATATAAGGCAATGAACCACTTGGCTAGATCAGCGATTTTCAACCTTTTGCATCTCATGGCACACATAAACTAATTACTAAAATTCTGCGGCACACCAAAATATATATATATATATATATATATATATATATATATATATTGCCAATCTGACAAATAATAGGTATAATTTTGATTCATTCACTCTGGACAGCCATTGTTGTGTTGGCTGCTGTCCTTTTTTTTAAGGGAAAAGAAGCCAGTGTCCCTAAATAGTCAGGTATTGCATATTTTACAAATTCTTGTGGCACACCGGTTGAAAATTGCTGGGCTAGATTAAGAGTTTAGAGTAACAACGTGAGTTACCTACAATAATGAGAAGTGAACAATGAATGACCACTAAGGGAAAAAAGGCACATGGTGNATCCCCGCCCCCAAACCAGCACTACACAATCATCTGGGTAAGTTAAAGTCCCTGGCAAGCTGAAAACTTCCAACTGCTTGTGCCTCCAAACTAAAGACTTCTTGGGAATCGAAATAAGCCAAAGCGGAGCACAATAAGGAAAGCTCAACCTCCGACTCTGCACCAAGAGCAAGGGCAAGTGGAACGTCCCTAAAATGCTTAAGTCCCTGGGGATCTCCCACAGAGCCCCACCGCCCTCGCGCTCTGCAATGCTCTGCACTCCTTCATCCCAGTTCTCTTTCGGACAGCGTCAGACGGGAGCCCACACCACACAGCCAGACGCCGGTCCACTTCCCCAACCTCGTGAATGGTCGGGGCTGCTCCCGCGCTGCCCCCGCCTGGGCCCCTAGGTCTCTCGACTCACCCCAGGCAGCCAGACAGTCGATCTGTAGAGGCAGCTTTTCTAGGATCGGCACCGGCTCGAAGGCGTCGTGCATGGCGGCGAGCAGGGAGTCGCCGTCACAGACTCACTCTGTGCGGGCCGGGCTCATGAACAGGACCACGTAAAGGGAAAGAACCACCAGGATCTGGCCAGGGACTCCAACCATAGGCCCTTAGACAACAGAGCCATCATCGACACCGGACTTCCTGCTGCTCTAAGCCCACCCCTTCCGCAGGCGAAGTCCCGCCCCTTCCGCCCCAGCTTTTAAATCCCCTTTAAGGAATGCGCCAATGCTTCGGTTCCTATTTCACCCAAGACCCAGAGATTCTCCTTCGTGGGGTAGCTATGAGCTTAATAAGGAGGGAAAATCATCTTAATCTTAGAACTGTATTAGGAAGTGTAGTGTGGTAGTGAAAGAATTCGGCGTCAGACCTGGGATGGAAATCTGCCATTTTGGAAACTGGCTGTGACATTTAATTTTAATCTCCCAAGGACTTAAATTTCCGTATCTTAAAAATGACGGTGTTACGTACCTACCTAACGTTGTGAGCACTTAGTAATGCCTGATATACTCAGCACTCAATAAATAGTGTTAGTATTTCCATTATAATCACAGCCTTACCCTTACATTTTAAAGGTGTTCCAAGCCAGTGGTTCGCAAAGGGTGGTCCCTAGACCATCAGCATCTGGGAACTTGTTAGAAATGCGGTCTCAGGCCTCATCCCAGCCCTACTCAATCAGAAACTCTGAAGGGTGCCAAGGTGGGGGTGTCCACTAGTCAGTTTTAATAAGTTCCCAAGGTAAGTCCATGCACTGAAAGTTTGAGAACCACTGCAATGATCAGCATCTGGCAATTTACCCCCAAGAAAACAACAGGTATGTCATAAAATTAAGCATTTTGGCTTAAAGCAAAAATGTAAAAAAAAAAAAAAAAGGGGGGGGGGGGCCCTATAGGCACCTTCTAAAACATGTAACAGGAGGGAAANAAAAAAAAAAAAAAAAAAAAAAAAAAAAAAAAAGGGGGGGGGGTGAGTCTATGATATGAAGCAAAAAATGTCCCTGGTCACTTAATTTTACACAATCTGTTTCTTCATCTGTAAATTAGGAATATTGTTCCACCTTTACTAGCTGTTTCTGATAATCAAATATTTCCAAGTAGTAAGAAACAAAAAATTGCTAACAAATCTTATGTCTGTTTTTACCATAGAAACTGAACACTTTGAAAATTTAGAACTGCCAGCTACTGTGCTGGAGGAAGATCTAAAAATACCTGTAGTTCCAGGAACATGGACAAAGACTAAAATAAACAATGTAAACTATAAGGTAACAGGTCAACATAATACTATATATCCCTTCTGAACCCGTTCTAAAAAAATGACACCCATATACAATCACAGTAACATAAGCAGCCACAGAAAAAGCAGAAAGAATTATCAGGTCCCAGGCTACAGAATTTATACTATAAACTCCTGCTTAACATAACTCCTGCTCTCAAGTCGACATCTAACCAGTCTCAAAAAATATTTGACCAACTATCCTGACACGTGTGACTATTATTCATTTGCTAAGTTTTTGTATGAAGGAACAGAAGCATGTGACAATTATACCAGCCCTTTGCTAATAGGTTAACCTGGGAATATAGTCAGTTCCTCATATGGTTCCTTAGAGATACTGCCCAAGAGATTTTTTAAAAATCACCACAGCAAACAGCTATAGAGAAATGTTACATAAATGTGAACACTTTCACTATGAGTTAGTGAAGATTGTGGTCACATGGTTATTGGTTTCAACAGGTTAAGACGATATAGAATAAAAACCATGTAAGGGAATTTCCCACAAGTTTGGGAGAAAGAAGGGGCTTTAGAGAAAGTCCAAAAAAAGAGAGAAACACATTAATTTTGTTAAAACTTTTTTATATTAAAAAATGGCATGAACTTTCTATTGTAGAACAAAACTTTTGGGAAGGCAAAAGTAGACAAAACCATTAAAACAGAAACAGAGTGCTTCAAATGAATCCCATCACCTTGTGATGTCTTAGAAACAGTCTCTAAACCAACACCAGATACAAGAACAGTTTACCCTAAAGGATGAGCAGCAGTCCAGGGCCTCCACACTACTTCATGCAGCAAAACTTCAAGCTAGAAGGACCTGTTTCCTTTGTATTAGCTCCTGCTTCTGAAGAATTACAGTCTTTAACAGGGTGCTCACTCACAAGCACTTAAATGGAGTGCCTCTCTGCATCTAGTGCAACACCCAGTGAATGGCATGAAGGCAAACAAAGCATTGCCTAGAGTCTGCAATGTTGCCTTGGAGGCTTACAAAACAGTAGTTAAAAGTTCTGGAGTGTGCACCACATTGCCAGCAATGGGATGTGTCACAATAGCAGATGTCAAAAGAGTTAAGCTAATATTTCTCTCTAAAGTACATCTGAAATAGAAAAATCTTTAATATATACCATTTGTAAACAAAATTGCACTTGATTTTGCTTTTTTAAATGATCTGAATTACACTGTAACAGTTTTTTCTCTCCCTCCTTCTTCCTTCCTTTTACTTATTGATAGAACCATGGCTCCTTAAGTCAGAAGGACTTTTTTTCTCAAAACTACCTCTGCTAGATGTAACCTTGACTTCCCCAGAAGTGGAAAGATAATGAACAATTTCCCCCATCACCTATGTAACTCCCTAAATAAATAAAAATTACAGGCAGTTGCTCCTGGAGATTACAATGGTATTGATGTCACAGTTGTTTAGAAGATGTTGAACTTTTTAGTTTGACAGATTAAACAATTTACACATCATAGAAGGTTCAGGAATAGCACACATAAGTTGCATAACATCCATGTCAGGGTGTGGGAGGGAATGGGGCATCAATGTTGTAAATAAGAAACTTGTAGGTTCTCATCCTATGAACATCATTCAATGAGATGTTCTAGTTCTGACACCTCTCGGCAGCTCCAATGCACAAAGATCAAGGAACAGATCAGTTGTCATCGCTCCTTTAATCCGGGAGCAGTGTAAGATGATTAACAGAAGATGATCTCTTCCCAGATACCAGCCGTCTTAACCGCACATCTTCCCACTCTTTACTCCATTTTGGACCTTTCAAAGTGTGTGATCATTCGTTCCTAGGGGGAAAAAAGGTTTATTCAAAATAGATTAATCTTAAATGGTCTACATTCCAAATATCTTCTACATAGTTGCTACACAAATGCATTTTCTGCAAGTACTTATGTTCATTAAATACTTAGAGAGATGGTTCCTGATCATCTATGAAGATTTTGAAAGACAGACATGTCTAGGCCCCACACAAGATTAAGCGAATCAAAATCTCTAGGCTTCTGTACATCAAACCACAAATCAAAAGGAACTGTATGCTTTAGAGTCCATTAAGATGATTAAACAAATATTTACTTAAGATTAAGCTTCAATAAAAATATATACTTCCTCTGATTCAGGAATTAAACTTGAAGAAATTATTAAGAATGTGGGCAAAGATTTAGTCACAAGCATTCTACTGCAACACTCAGGATTATAAGAAAATACTAGAAAGAATTAAGTGTCAAAAACTACAGAATTGTGTAAGCAAACTATTGCATAACCTTATAATGAAATATTATATACTCATTAAAACTACATTGATGAAAAAGTTCTAGAGATCTTTTGCACAACAATGCATATATAATTAACACTGTGCACTTGAGAATTGTTAGGATGGTCATTTTATGTGTTTTTCAACATAATTTTTGGTGCACTCAAAAGGCTTCCTAAAATATTCTAACCTAACATTCAGAACATGTCCAGAACTAGTTTCCATTAACTCAGACTGCAATTCTTATATAAGACTTTATTGTGAAGCCTTCCAGATGAACCATATAGAAGCATATTAAAAGATTAAAAATCAACATACACATTAGGGGTACTAATTATAATCCTTAATATCTGAAGAGGATAATAACACAGACAACAATGAATAATAAGTAACCTAAAATAATTTATAAGTTTTGCTTTGGCCTACGATACTCCTTTCTCAATCCTTTTATTATTTTTGCCTAGATTAAATAAGGGTTAAATCTGAATTTTTTAAAGACAAAGGAATTAGAAAGTGGGACATTATGGATATTTGCTACCCAAATTAAACAAAGACATTCTCAAGTCTGACCATATAACTTTGGAAAAGGAGGACATATACAGAAAGTAAACATTCTAGAATATTTGAGTTCTAATAGTAATATTTCTCTTCTCATCCTTTTCACTGATACACTTACTGAGTCAAATAAATAAAATACCCCTGAACAGATAACTTATGACTCCCTATTAAGTCACCAGACTCACATTTTATGTACATGATTTGATTACTAACCTCATCAGAATCAAGAAGGGCTGGAAGTGCTCTGCAGAGAGGAAAACACCAAATGGAATAATTTAAAATAAAGTCATATGTGGTTCAAAAAGGACAGTGGGATAATAAATGCAATGTAAAGCTTTTTTTTTTTTTTTTTTTTGTAAGTATATATTTGTATCCTATTAATGGCCATTTAGGGGGGAGCAAATAATTAGAATCAAAGTTACTAAAATTATATAGAAGAAAAAAAGTTGTTCTGTACTGTAATAAACCAATGTTTGATAAAATTATAGCCAAAGAAAGGAATTAAAAAATCCCCCAAATAAACAAACAATACTTAGACTCATAGATACAGAGAACAGATTGATGGTTGCCAGAGGGAGGAAGGTTGAGGGATGGGGTGAAAAAGGTGAAGGCATTAAGAAGTACAAATTGGTAGTTATAAAATAGTCACAGTATAAAGTACAGCACAGGGAATATAGTCAATAATATAGTCAATAATATAGTCAATAATATTGTAACAACTATGTACGGTGCCAGGTGGATACTAGAAATATCAGGGAAGGACTTTGTGAAGTGACTGTCTAACCACTGTGCTATATACCTGAAACTAATACAAAATAATACTGAATGTAAACTGTAATTAAAAAAAAAAACATTCCAAAAGAATTATCCCACTGATTTTGGAAAGACCTATACTGAAATCTTTCTAAGCAAAAATGTCATCTGAATGAATAATCTCAATTACTTTTGTCTGTACATCATCCCTATTCCTGATTTTTAAACACCTTTTTGTTTTTAATAATTCTTTTGAAAGGTTAACTATAAGCATTCTCATTAGTAT